GTAAACCCCAGCAATTCCCAGCGTTGACACTCTGGTCCAGAATATTTGCTGTAGACACAAATGCATCCACAGCATGTTGCCAACAGTTGCCAGAGGGACCTAACTCCACAGACACGTGAGGTGCCTGCGGTCTGGCTCAGGCCTAGAGACACAAGGTCCAGCAGATCCCTCCGTCCACCTCCCCAGGAGGATCCACTGAGGTGTGCAGGGTCTGAAGATGACAAAGCCACACCCAGCAGATTTTTAAGTATGAACGAGTCCAAATCAATCACTCAATTTTGTTGCCATGAGCTCAGTGCAATGATTCTCTGTAGTCAGTTCTTGACCACACACGTAGACATTAGCTGGCAAAAAAACGAATACGTGAAAACAATGGTAGGTAAATAGGTTGATGTCTTACCTAGTGCCCGTGACGCTGGCTGTTACTAACTTAGACAACAGGGTCTCTGCTCTGCTCACTTCATGTCAGTGTTTATCCATTTGGCTCGGGAACTGTCGACCGTGAAGTGCAGTAACAGTCAGTCCTGGGCTTGCTGGTTTGTGAGACAGCCGGGCCAGGCCCAAGGACACCTGCCCAGGAAAAACTCTTCCTGCGCCACCTGGCTTTGCTTTTGGGCATGGCCATGTCCGAGTTCCAACTCTCGCCCTACTCCAGGGCTGCCCATCTCCTGGCAGATCCAGCTACCACTTGGCCAATACTTGTAAAGATCTGAAGGGATAGTTCTACTAAGTAAGCAAAAATGAACACACAAGCATGCACACAAGCACAGATGTACCCCACAGACTACAGAGGATGCCTGCCAAGCCGAGACCCACCCCTTCTGGGCCCAAAGACAGCTTCAAGTTGACCAGGCCCTGACCTGCCAGGTTTCTCTGTCTGGCAGGTGGTTGGCAGACGTTAGGGCCAGTCTTAGAGGTCAGACAGCAGGTGCCCAGGGAGTGTCCCTGCACCCCTTCTTTCTGCAGCCCCAAGCCCACTGACCTCTGGAAGCAGCCTAACCCCCCGCATATCACTCAGTCTGGGCTGGTGCACTGGCCTGGCCTCTCCTCTTTTGCTTAGGACACCCGGGCTGTCTTGTCCTGTTTCAAAGCCCGCGCTCCTTCTGGGCTGCCCTTGATGTTTGTTTTTCTGTCTGGGGGAGGACACGCTGGCCTGTGCTTCTTGGAACATCTGTGGCCCATCAGCACAGCTGGCTGGGGCACAGCCCACCCACTCTCTGGGATAGTGTCTGCAACTCATTGTTCACCGGGCCCAGGGGAGGGCTGGGCCTTTTGTTTCAGTCTCTTCATTAAAATCCTATAACATAGGAAATTTTTAACAGCCAGTGGATATGCATGCTTCCCACCAGGCATAAAGAGGCTGGTTTTGTTATAGTTTAACGCCCATCGTAAAATTAAAAAATCCAGTGTCACGTGAGCTCAGAGGCCTGGGAAAATAAAGGTGACATAAAAGCCGTTGTTAATACTTACACCTTTTTTTATTTAAGTCTAGATAGTGAATCTTTCCTTGTTTTAATCCAACAATTCCTTTCCTTAAATAAACAAAGTGGGGCAGTAGGATTACGCAGCAAAACAGACACAGTTTCCATCTTTTTTCTGGACGTGTCTTATGTTTTAGTTTCTCACAAAGCGACTCATAGCACTCAGTTAAGAAAACATTTGGGAGAGACTTAGAACTATGGAACTTTTAAACTACAAAGTGAACCTGGAGAGCCAAACAGGCTATTTCCTGGATGTGGAAAGTTAAACCTTTCACCCCACACCACACAGCTAAGGGGAGGCAGAGCTCAGGCGAGAACTCGGGTTTCCTGGCGCCTGATTCAAACCTCTTTCCAGGGTCTCTTCTCAAATTCTTCCTTAGGAAGTTGAGTTAAATCCCATGCTTCAATCCTTGTTTGTGGGTTGAAACATGAGCTTCTTAGCTCCCCGGATCAGTGGGTCAAGGAGCATTTTTCAGGCACTGGTGCAGGGAGACTGAGTCCTGGCCAGGTTGGGGTCCAGAACTTCACTAGGAGAAAAGGATTCCAAGGTGAAGCCTAAGAAACAGAGCCCAGCAGGCCCTCAGGATGGAGCAGTGGGGGAGGAAGCCAGGGCAGAGAGCACCAGGAAGTTCTACTGTTGGCCCAGGTGAGGACACCTGTCCTTCGGTCTGTCTGTCCCCTGCCCACCTGGGCTGAGCTTCCTGACTGGGCTTATGGCTGCTCAAGTGACCTTATAAGGAAGCAAAAGAAAGCAAACATTTTAAAATGAAAAAAGGATCGCTGTGAAGTTTGTTATTCTAAACTAAGCTTGCAGATAGTTTGCTTTTTCTTTTTATATTTGGTTCTGGGGGCAACTGATTCCATTAAAATAAAAAAAGGTACCACACAGGTTGACCTGGGACTCCCAGGTCTTTGGGTCACTATAGAAACCCTTTGGTTGAGGACTTCACCCTTTTTTCTTCATGTTATCAGTCCCAAGCTATCCCTTTCAATCATTTCTATAAGGTTTGGAATCTCCTGATAAGATTCCTGTCCATGCTTGTCCAGGGTACTTAGGATTTCTCTCTGTCTTTTGACACATTTAACCCAAGTAATGGTACTGATCAAAAGGAATTTAGACTGTTACAGTAGCTAGACAAGAACTATATTTTTAATTTGTGTTTTTTGCTGTGAGGGTCCTATCCCACTGGTTGTGTGAGATGCTGGCTGTGTCAAGATTCAACTTGCAGATCTCATGGTGCTTCCTACTGTAACAGCGTTTCTTCTCCCTATTGCAAATATAGAAATTTCCATTGTAGAAAGCTACTGAGCTGTCTTAGTTGAGTGGAAATAATTTATTTCCAAGCAAAAGAATGGGACTGATATTCTTTGACTGCCTACCATGATATTGACTTATAGAAAGGGACTACAGACTCATCTTTTAACAGGAATATGATTTTAACTTAAAGAAAAGTAGAAAAGAATACCACAATCTTGAGGGAAAAAAAGTTAAGCTGATTTTTGGAGAAGAGCTGTCATGTTTGTTGAGTATAAATCTCTTGATATTGATTTGGACTCTGTTATATGCCAGATAATAAAATACAGAAATTTAATGTAAATCGATTTGACTTATAGTATTACCTAGATGTCACTTTAATACATAAAATCTATGGAGAAATTAAAGTAGAGCATTCACTTATGGTATAGTTTTCACTTGTCAATTTTTATAATGGACCAGAGAACTTTTTGTAATAATAGAAAAAATATATATATGCAGGTAATGGATGGCTATTGAGTGGTTCCTATTTATACCTCCATTGACTGTTTTACTCATTCATTCCTGAAACTTTTATTGAGTACTTAGCACAAAGATACAAGTAGGAAGACAGAGCTGCTGTCCTTAAAGGAATCCACAGTCTGGTAAGAGAAGGACATATGTTTGCATATGATCGGTCATAAACTCCGACCTAATATTCTGGTATTGACGAGTGATAGTAAACACCTGGATGATTGGTTTCATTATGTCCTGTGCTATCCTATCTGTGAAAAGTCAGGCCTCTCTTTAGTGATTAAAGTTGTTTTATTTTTAAAGCAAGAGCATAATAACACTGATTCATGAGAATAGAAAAGATCCGTTTCCTATTATTTTTTTCTCACCTTAAAGGGTGTTTGGAAAAGTGTCAAATAATTAAACTTTCCTGAGTTCGTAATTCCATTGGGAAGACTTGGTAATAAATGTTCTTTCTTCCTTGTGCTGTGATGGAAAGTGGCTGGAAATGACCCTATTAATCCTATTTCTTGATATGAGCCATTTCAGAGAACTAAAAGTATGATTATTAGTTTCAGAAACTTTGATAGACCCAAATAGATCAAAATAAGGTTACAGGAAGTAGGGATATAGAATGCACCTTCTTTTTTTTTTTTTAAAGATTTATTTATTTATGCATATAAGAACTGGGGTGTAAGCCAGAGGTGCTGTGGGTGAGAGGATTCACCAGAAAGAGTGGGGAGCAAAACAGGCAGATCTACTGAAATACACTGCTGAAGGAAGCAGCAGGTGAGGCAGGAGAGGTCTGCTGGGCCATGTGGGCTGCTCCCTGGCCAGCAGGGGATCGAACGTGGGGATCCCATGTGCTGCAGTGGCTGGCGATAGCTTGATAGCATTGTGTTTAACCCCTGCGCCACCAGAGAGGCCCTAGAATGCACCTTCTTTTAAGCACACGTAGTTTCATAAACAATTCCTCTTTACTGGTACACTTGCTTGGTAACAGTTTTGACGGTCTCTGCTGTAATCTATGTGTTGCTTTGCAGCTTGTTGAATAGATGCCGTTCTTCCCTGCTTACTAGCACCTACCTGTGTTTGTCATGGGAGCAAGAGTGTGATCAGGGTCACCTGGTGTGGTATTCAAAAGAAGCCAGACTCAGCCTAAAAGCTAAAGGAATTAATAATTCACCTTTGAAGGACAAGTACAGAATACTTGTTTTTAATAAGATAGAGGTGTATGACCTTGAAAAAAACCGATATTTTATGCATCTGTAAATGGGAAAAATAATATCTACTTTGTGAGGTTGGTGTATTAATTAATATGGAAACTTGCTTAAAACAGCTTAATTTTTTATAATTGCCCCAAATTATTAATTTCTCTGCTATCTAAATTTTGGAAATAGAGCTCACCCATGTCTCATGGATGTCTAGTATTTATCTACCTTTCTAGAAAGGCAACTTCTCAATAACCTGATTCTTAGTGATAAAGACATCTTTTTAACACACACAGATGTACACGTGTGCACACATGCACATGGGCAGTGAAGGCCAGTAAAGGCCTTCAGAAAGAGGCTCTGCCCTATCTGGGGAGCAGGAAGGCTCTTTGGAGGGAGGAGGGGTCACTGGGTCCCAGATCCCACAAGAGGCAGGAGCCATTGTCCTACGTGGCAACCGAAGCTGGAGAGGGGAAGCTGCACCTGCTGGTAAGACCGATGACCCTGGGTGGCGCTGTGCCATCTTCCTTAACCAATCCCTTCCTGTGCTTTCCTCCGCAGACGGCCATCCTGAGGAGGCAGGGCCGCTACAGATGCTCCACGGTCCCCGCGAAGGCTCAGGAGGAGGCGCAGAGCTTGTTTGTTACAGAGGTAATGTACCTTTTCTACAGCAATTTACATGTCATCTTAAAGTCATTTTTCTTGACTCGTCCCACCCCCTTCAATTTCAATGAAAGTGTCAGAGAGACAATTCCCTGTTAATGATGGAGTTAAATTATGGGGACTGTGGGACTTGGGCAGAAATGTCAGCAGGGATAGTTTCTGATGACAAGACATGAGTTCTGCAGAATTTATCTCATTGGGTTGGAATAAAGGGTAACTTGTATGAATGAACTCACTGGAAAGCTCTGGCAGAGGCTTCGTTATTGATGCTGTTTTGAATGGAGACACAGCACACGCATTTGTGTATTCATTGGCTTCGTTTATACGTGTGCACTTGGAAATTAGTTTCAAGACTGGGTCTATCCAGGAAGTGCCAGGTGATAATGAGCAGAGCCAGACTATCCCAATCAATGTCTGATTATTACTACTCTTGTCTGAACATGACAATTATCTTGAGGAGGAAAGAGAAATTATTGCATCTATGTTGCTTGTTTTTCTTCCACCTTGGAGATTCTTGTTTCTTCCTCCAGGTAGAAGGTAGGTATGAAGTAATGATATGTTTTAATTTTGTTCCTTGAAATACTCCTTTATTTAGCAATAAAGTATTTTTATCTCCACTTTTCTGGCTGATATTTAGATGATTAGTATGCTCTTCAGTAACCTTGCTGGCTATGAGAAAGTTATGCTTTAATAAGTGAAAACCAATGAAAAGAACAACTTTTGTTTCCATTGAGATTTTTGAAAAATTTTATATGAATTTAAATTTTAAAAATTTTGTTCTCTCACTTTCCTGAAACGATTACTTCTCGTCTTACCTCCCTTGCAATGATATTACATTGTAAAATTAATTCCAAACAAATACAGCCAGTTGTGCTTATAGAGTATTAAATTGTTATTCTAAAGGAAGATGCAGGCAACCCCCCACCCTAAAAAAAAATCTGTTTTTGTGAATGGAGTTACGTTGCAGCATAGCCACGCCCCTTCACCTGTGTGTTACCTGTGGCCACTTTCACGTGACAAATCAGGGCTGCGTAGCTGCAACAGCTGCAACAGTAGCCTCTCCCTCAAAGCTGGGGATATTTACTATTTGGTGTTTTGCTGAAAAATGTGCAAACTCCTATTTTAAAGCACAAGCAAAGTTATTAATTAGTAATTCAAGTCTCCCAATTGATTAAAAATTGTGGGTTTTTGAGGGCCAGCTTTCCATGAAGTTCTTAAATCACTGCAGGTTGTGCAATCAGTTTCATCCTACGATGCCTGAGCCAGCAGAGCCAAACCTCTTGGGACCTTTCCACTAGGGTGGAGCGGACCAGCACTTCCTCTCTATCCTCTGGTCCAGAGGAGAATGACCTAATGCTTTGAAAAAACAACAACTTCAGAAACTTTTCAGTTTAATTTCAAAATATTATTGAATTTCAGAAGATAGAAAGGTCAGACATGAAATCAGCCAGTGAGGTCCTTGACTTTTTGGAGCTACAGCTCTCTAGCTACTGATTTCCGATGAATCCATGATCTCCCAGGCTTTCTGCCCCCCTGAGGGTGAGGGTGGCTTGCCTCATTCTGCGCTTCTGCCTTGGGATTTAGCTGGTGCCATGTGAACCTTTAGCAGTGGCTTATTAAAGCACTGAATCTGGATTCTGAACTGGCTAACTATGTTTTTTTTTTTTTTTCTTTTTTGAAGTTCTTTATTTAAAATATTTAAAAGTTATAATTATCTTTCTAACCCATTTTGCCTAAGATATTAAAAATCTGAGTATTTGGGTGTTCTATTCATAAATGCACTGATTATATATGTCCCTGCTTATTTATTTTTTTAATGGGGCAGGTACATTTTATACATCAGAGTGGTTGTAACTTCAGGCAAGAAACTGGTGGCACCGCTTTAGTTGCAGGGTTTGGTGAAGGAACACCAGAGCTGCTGCTGTTTCTGATTTGGCTTCAGAACAAAGACAATAGGGCCATGTCCACAAGAGTGAGTCACGCGCACTCAGACTTAACTTAGCTGAGCTAATAGACCAGGGACAATAGTGGGAGAATCCAAACCTACAGATAGTTTTGAAATCATGCTGGTTTTGGAATGTAATTTTGAATGTGGCTGTCTGGTGTTCTAATTGTAAAAAAGATGTTGTGGAAAAACTTTTACAGCAACTGGAAGAATAAGAGTGTTTACAATAATTGGTAACTGCATAGCAAAGAAATTGAAAATTGTGCAGCTTCCACCTCTTTCTTTGCTCTTATCCCTTCGCTATTTATTGTTTCACTTCTAGAATATAACAAAAACCTTGCACTGCCTTCCCTTTATAACCTGGCCAGTTAAGTGCTTACCTTAGAGCCTGGCAGGAAGGAAGCACTTACTGGTGTTGCTGTAATTATGTTTGTGACTTCAAGGATGGAGAGGACTTAGCTGCGAGTCCTGGGCTGGGCTATGAAATAGGTTAAAAGGCTGGCAGGTAAACGTTGACCTGAAGTGAGCAGATCAGAGACTGTTCTTGAAGATAGTAACAGCCAGAGTGAAGGGCATGAGGTGGGACATCAGCGTATTTATCTACCCATGTTTTCACACATTAATTTTTTGAGTGATGTCTACCATCGTGTGATCTAGAACTGATTATACAGAGAATCATTGACCTAAACTCCTGGTAATGAAATCGAAGGATGGATGTGGGCCTGTGATGCTCCATGCGCCGCTTGGAGGGGCCCCAGGAGCTCTTTCCGGGCAGAATGGAGGGCTGCAGGCTGGGCCTTGAGACTGTCAGGTGGGGAGGTGGCTGAATGCAGCTCAGCACAGCCCCCCTGGTGTGGGCCCCCCTGCTCAGTGCCTCCTGTTCACTGTGTACGTGCACCCCTGGAGAGAGGTGCTGGTGCCTCTGAGAATTGGAATATAAATGTTCCCTCTGCATCACCTCACTCTGTGCCTTAGAAATGGAATGAACATGTGAGGGCAGATTAATTTCAGCTAACAGAGCAAGTTGCGATCTGAGTGAACAGCACTGAAGGGTCTTCTGGTTCACACTTGCCATTCACTTTCATGTTCTAGTAAAAACCGCATGCCTCCCTAAGACAAAGTGCTTTTAAGTCAGAAATAGCACATTGTGTAAAATCTGTTCTCAGATCGAGAATGATAGAAACTTGAAGAGCTTCTTCTCCCAAGGGGGGTATTTCAGTGGTTCTTAAGTTTCACAGGGATGTCTGGTGCTGGAATTTCAGACATGGGTGGGTTGGGGAGAGAAATGTTTTTGATGTTTGTGTGGTTGTGCCTTCTTGAACCCAAATGTTCCCTTAAAGTCTTCACGATTCATTTTTCTTTTCCTCTTCTACCCTCTATTTTTTCAATCCCCTCCCCCTCATAGTGCATCAAAACCTACAACTCTGACTGGCATCTTGTCAACTACAAATATGAAGATTATTCAGAGGAATTTCGCCAGCTTCCCAAGTGAGTAAATGGTCAGACCACACAAGGCGGGCACATACAGGGGAAATTCCTTCTTCTTGAAATACTTAAGGAGCCAAATAACTGCATTTGCAGCCAGAGTAACTGGAAGACAGGCTGTGGATGGCTGCGGTACGTGGGTACCGGCTGTTTAGAGGGCGTTTGACAATCCAACCTGGCCTATGTGTGGGGTGGGGTGGGCGGGGTCGGTCGGTGGTATAAACACATGGCTGGTTTGATTATGCCCAGTGCATCTTTTCAGGGCACATTTGCAAAAACCCAAACAGGTGAGTTTTTTTTTTCAGTGAGAAATAGAAAACTAAGAAAATGCAGGTGCACTGAACTATGCGAGTGTGTTTTGTCTTAAAAATAACATCTTGAGCAGTCCGAAGGAATCAATTTTATGTTGAAAATGTAAATCAGAGAACATGCATTTCCCCCAGCGAAGGTCTTTACCGCTGTTGAAGTATTAAGCCATGCTGGAAAACCACAGAAGCAAGTGCGCTTAGCCTGATTCGCGGTGGTAACGTGAGCCAGGACCAGGTAGATCTGACCCGGAGATCTCTCATAAAACCGTGCGTCCTGAGATGATGGTGTTGGCACATCGAGAGTTGGTTATGAAAATCGGAAGCAAATGACAGTGCTTCCAAAGTAACTCTCGCCTAGTGGAAATTTGACTTGAGACTCTGAGTATGATCTCGTGCTGGCTGCGGCTCCACGTTTGGAACTATTCACGCTATTCTCAGAGGACCGGGCTGTTTGTTTCTGCTGTTTGTGTGGTTCCACCACGCCTCGGGAGTGTTCAGCCAGCTTCCCCGTCGCCTCTTTTTAAACCTCAGCCGAGAACACACCCTTCCAGCATTATCTTCTCCAGATGGGTTGCTCTCCAGTTCTGCATTCACCCAGTACCCCCCTGGGCATTTTTGAATTCTCCCCATGGGATCAAATTAGCTTGGCTTCACTGAGAGCCTCCTTCAGGCTATTCTCGAGGCTGCAAGGAACAGGCTGAGGTGGAGGGCGCTGGATGTACAACACGCCGTTACTGCTGGTTTGGTCATTAAAAAGAGTTTTCATTTATGATGAGAATAAAAGGGGAAATGAAGAACTTTCTCGGTGAGGCCTCAGTTTCTTCATCTACTAAATGTTCTTAACAATGGTCCCCACCCTACGAAGGAGCACAGGGCACCACACAGGCGAGGCCCGCATCACCGAGCCCAGCACATAATAGCTGTTTAAGAAACGCTGGTGCAAGTGCGGCTGTGTCGAAGTTGCTGATGCCATCACTGGCACATCTGGCTCCAGTCCATTAAGATGCTTTGGTCCCATATTCCCTATTCTCTCATAAACTTAACATTAAAGGTTATTCCGCCCGAGTCTTGGTGGTCCATAAACACTCCCATTTTAATGGACCTGATTCCCAACAAGACACGCCACCTCTTCTTCCTAGCTTTTGGAGGCTCTCTGACTAAGGCCCATCTGCTTTGACAAATAAGTCTGGGATTGTTCTTTACCTAGTGGCCCACCTTCTGGCTTGTTAAATGCTGTTTCTCTGATGGGGGAAGAAATGTACTGTCTCTTCAGGGGATATTAACTAGGTAATTATAAAAGGAGTTTCTTTCTTCTTTTTAAAGCAAAGTGGTCAAGTTGGATAAACTTCCAGTTCATGTCTATGAAGTGGATGAGGAGGTCGACAAAGACGAGGTAGGACCCCGGCTCCCAGTTGAAAAATTGATTTATTTTGCAGGCGTGGAAGAGTAATTAGAAAATGATCAACATGTAACTGAACCAAGAATTGGATGTTCCTTGAAACAGAGCAAGAATTTTGAAAGGACTATTGTTTGAATGCTTGCAGTGAGGTCTCTGTTTCAACTTGACTATTGAGCATGGCATGTTCTGGGCCTGTTTATTTGTTCTGAGAGCATTTTCAAAGGCCAGGATAAGATTTGGCTAGTGTTAGAAGAGATCAAGATTACTTAGACCTTCAGTTTAGGAAGTTTTATTTTTTTAAGATTTATTTATTTATGCATACAAGAACTGGGGTACAGGCCAGAGGTGTGGGCAGTTAGAGAATTCACCAGAGACAGAGTGGGGAACAGAACAGGCAGACTGACTGAAATACACTGCTGAGGGGAGCAGCAGGGAGACAGGAGAGGTCTGCTGTGCCATGTGGGTCAGCTCCCTGGCCGGGGATCGAACTCAAATTGCAGAGACTGAGGACTGCTTCAAAGTGCTGTGCTTAACCCCTTGCACCACCAGGGAGGCCCCAGTTTAGGAAGTTTTTCAACAGGATATCTTGAAACAAACTGGCAACCAGTAGATTTTAGATGACTTTCTCCAGTGAGGGCTTCAAAGAAGCATATTGTACCCTGATTTGAACATGTTCAGGCCTCAACAACCGGAGAGATGATTATGTCTAGAGATGTGGGTGAAGAGAACAGAGCATTAAAGTGACCCCTTCACTGAGCAAGGTGGAACTAATGAAAAGTTAGTGCCCCTTCCCTGTAGTTCTCATATCTCTCCTACTCAGCTCTGTGAGCTCTGTGGGCGCCACTGTGAGTTCAGGGATTTTATTTCCAACTCCCTCCCCCCAAATCGTCAGCTAAATTATAACTGCGGGAACGTGTGAGTGCTCATCATGTTCCCAGTAGCAAATTATTTTAGAAACCACTTTTAAAGAAATTCTGGGAAGAGCAAGTGGCCATTCAAAATGAGAAACAAGATATTAAGAACTTGATGCTGATGAATAGTAAAAAGAGGACTGTTTGGAATCTTGCATGGAAAGACACAATGAAGTGTAAAATCCTTACTGATTAATAGTAATAATACATCCCATTATTAATATTACGATGGTCTAAAGCAGAGCATAACTGGCTCTTTCCACACTGCTCTGCTTGATCACCAAGCTGAGAGTTGTAATTAGAGGCTAACCCATGAGCTGGTCACTTCCCCGCTGTCTGGCCCTCCCTCCCCACTGTACCTACTAAAATGTACATGGGGCACAGCCTTCAGGATGCAAAGAATCACAGGGAGTAGTCTTGGGGCATGGGGAGGGCATGCTGGGTTGTGCATTTGCGTGTATATATCTCATCTGTCTGTTTATTATTACCTATAGAATTATATTCCCTAATTTTACCAGCAGCTGGCACCTTCATGCCGTCTCCTTAAGCCCAGATGAGGTCAGGACTTCATCTCTTTACTTTACTGGCTGTTTTACTTGTCCTGTCTCACTCTCGTTCCTCCTGTCTCTCTTTCCAGAATTTTCTCTCCTCTCTCTCTTGCCTTCCACTTCCTTCCTTTCTTTAGTCACCTCTCCCTGAACCAAGCCTCTGGGAAGTTTTCCAGGAATTTGCTTTTGTCCCTCCAACTAGAGATGGGAGTGTAATTTGAAAACATTTTTCCTGAAACCAGGCGAGACCTTACAGCTTGAGTGGGCAGTTGCGGTATGTGTGCTGTGTGGCTCATTAAACACTTGAAAACAAAGAGCTGGGCTGGAACCAGCTTTCATTTTAATGGAGAAGCATTTTCAGAGAATTAGGCTGCTGCTGTCTTTGATTCTTGAGTGGACTCTAAATTGGCTCGTGGGTGTGAGGGTCAGGTGGCGACATTGACCCCGGAGGAGTGATTTTCCTATTGACCAAGCTCATAGCACACAGCCTGGGTCAGCCATAACCGCCGTGTTTCTTTCTCTCCCAGGATGCTGCCTCCCTGGGCTCGCAGAAGGGCGGCATCACGAAGCATGGGTGGCTTTACAAAGGCAACATGAACAGCGCAATAAGCGTGACCATGAGGGTAAGAGTCCAGCGCCCTGCTTTTGCCTCTCCTAACCCCTGTTGCTATAGCTCTTGAGACTAAAGATCAGGAGGAGTAGGCATGCTGTTTTCCTGACAAAGGTGACTTTGTCTGGTTAGGCCATCTCCCTGGTCTTGCCTGGCCAAGGGTATGGCTCCTTCCACCCATGTGCCCTCGTCACCCTCTGGCCATGCACCAGCAAGCCCAGATCACCGCGGGCTGGTGTGAAGGTGCAGTCACGGCTGCAACTTGTCCCTGCATCACCTGCAGAGGGGGTGCTTGTTCCCTAGGGGCTGAACTGCAGTACTTTCGTGGAGGTTGATGACACAGTCGAGTGAAAAAAAAATGAGAACCAACAGGACAGTGATTGCATTGGGAGAGGGTGCAAGGAGATTAGTAAAGCCAGTAGCAAGGGCTCTGCAGGAGCAGAGGAGTAGGAGGGACCATGATAAAGAGGACAGAAACAGCGTGGAGGAGAGGCTGATGAGCAGGAGGGAAGCCCTGCATCAGGGGAAAGACAGCATCGTGGTGTGCTGGAAATGACTCCAAGTCACCCGGGTTGGGGTGCTGCTCCTCTGCCATGTGAGCAGGAAACACCAGGGTGTGAGCAACTTTCCTTCCCTCTGTGCTGCAGCCCTAATTGGTGCTCCTGGCACTGCTTCGGGTGGTTACATAAAATCTCAAATTCTCTGGGTGAGCTAAAGGGCTGGTAGGTGGGAAGAGACCCAAATCTCAAATTCTCTGGGCGAGCTAAAGGGCTGGTAGGTGGGAAGAGACCCAGCTCTTCAGAACCGAGATTCGGGCGATGATAAGGAGGGTGGCATCTCCTTCACCTACTTACCTGGCGTTGGCCAGGGCGCAACTTGCTTTGGGGGGCACTGAAATGGTTTGTGCTTGTGTTCAGTCTTGAGTTATCCATAGAGGTCGTGACTCTCTTCCTGCTGTAACGAAAGCTGTTGTGTGTGTTTTTCTCCCAGTCGTTTAAAAGACGGTTCTTCCACCTCATACAACTTGGTGATGGATCCTACAATTTGAATTTTTACAAAGATGAAAAGATCTCCAAGGAGCCGAAAGGATCAATATTTCTGGATTCCTGTATGGGTGTGGTTCAGGTAAACATGAGTTTTATCATCAAGTTTTCTAATCTATGAAAGCACTGCCTATGAATCAGCAGATTTAAGCAAACATGTCCAAAAATGAGAATATTTAACTTTAAAATGAGCAAAGTCTTGTCTTTTATCATTTTAGAAGGTGGCAGGTGGGTGGTAGATGAAGAATTGTGTTGGGTGGGCACGAGGCTCTTTGTGAGTCCGTGGTTCACAAGCTGGCTCAGCCGCTTCCCAGCTATAGGATCTAGGGTAGACTTACCTGAAGTTTCTTTTTTTTTTTTTTTAAGATTTATTTATTTATCTATACAAGCACTGGGTACAGTCAGAAGTGCGGGAGGGTGAGAGAATTCACCAGAGCCAGAGCGGGGAGCAGAACAGGCAGACTGACAAAGTACACTGCTGAAGGGAGCAGTTGGCGTGGCAGGAGAGGTCTGCGCGCCATGTGGGACCCTCACCGGTGGCTGGGCATCGAACCAGTGCTGCAGAGGCTGCGGGCAGCTATGCAGTCCAGCGCCCAGCCGCTGCGCCACCAGGGGAGGCCCTGAAGTTTCTTAATGTACAAAATTTGGGTGATGCTGATGTGTCCTCAGTTGGGTAAATGAGAGGATTGGGTGTGTTGAACTTGGAACAATTTGGGACACTTCTTAGCTTCTCAGTGATTTTTGCTGTTAGTCACCATCACTGGACTGTACAAGTAGTGTTTGGTCTTGAGATCGCAGCTCAGAGCCAGCCTGAGCTCACATCCCTGCCCTCCCCGCCACTTGTCAGCTCTGCGACCTTGGAGGTCCTCTGGAGCCTGTCTGCGCCTCTGTTTCCTCATTGGTTAAATAGGGAAAGTGACAATCCCGGATCTGGCTACTGAGAGGACTAATCAATGCATGTAATGAACTTGCAGCCACATGGGAAGCAATCAGCTAATTTTATACACTTGTTATAGCGCTGCTGTTGTGTGGAGTTATTCTTAAAAATTATTTTTAATTATGCATAATACATGAATTATTCATATTATTAAAAATCAGTCAATACAGATAAACTGAAAGTCCCTGTTGGCCCCCATGTCTCCCTTTCCCAGAGAGCTGTCAACCCCAGCGTGGGGGCAGCTTTCATACCTTCACAGACTTGTCTTAGAAAACAGATCACCAGTTTCCCCACCTCTCTGTCCATCCATCCACCCATCTGTCCATCCGTCCATCCACCCACCCACTCACCCACTTATCTACTTCTCTGCCATTTTCCAGGAAGATCTAGGGCGGCACCTTGCAGGGACACATAAAACGCAGGACAGGATACAGTTAACGTGAATCTGAAAGCAGAAAGGTGGATAAGGAATCTGGGCAGGGAGGAGACGAGGTAAAATCCAGCTGAGAAAAAGCATATGTCTGCAAACCTCACACCTGCTCCAGTTGGCCCACACACTGGACACTGTGCAGAGACCCACTCCGTCTCACAGTGCACAGCACACACTGGAACAAACAATCCAATTAGTCAGAAGCTGCCCCAGAATCCCAGAATGAAGACCATTCAGGCGTTCTTCTGGGGGCCTCATAGAGACGGCCCTGTGTGATTAATGAAGAGTCTCCTTGACGACCATGCACAGTCGATGCAGTCACATTAACAGCATTCGCTCTTACAGTGACCCAATGTTGGCTCATGGCACGAACCCCGAGCTTGGCTCCACTGGAAAGGTGGTTCTGTGGGGCCAGCATGTGAAAGTTAGAGACACAGCGTTCTGGTTTGACCCTCAGATGTAGTATTTATATGTCCACATGCTTGCTGGAAATTAAATTGCAGGTCCATCCAAGCAATCCATTCATCTTGATTCCACATCAAGCAGTGCGCAAAGGCATCGTTAGGAGAATATTCCATGTGTACTTGGCATCATCCATCCTCACCCATCCCAGTCCACTCATAGGTCATTTTCAACTTTTCACTGTATTGTGTGGGGCTTTCCTACACGTGGTGAGAGAAGAGTGTTCACCCTTCTTCATCAGCGGTGGACATGTTGTGATGTTAGATAGCACTATGGCTCCTGTAACCCAAAGCTTCTCAGCCTCTTTGAAGATGCCCTGTGCCTTCCTCCTTGTGTTGGACTTCCTATTTCTAGGATCCTGTGTTTCTCATTTTGCTTCTTTTTAAGGAGAAGCCCATCCTCTAGTAGCTTACCAAGAAATCTTGCATAAAATGCTCATTTTTTGAGAGTTACCATAGCAGCATGTATTTTTATTTTTGCATGGATACTTGATTGATAGTTTGGCTGGATATAGAAATTCAAGGTGAAATTTACCAGAATTTGAAGACATTTCAGCATTTTCTAAATGTCGGTACAATCTTGGGATCTGATATTATGCTTATATCCTGTTCCTCTCTTTATCTCCAGTGATCTGAAATTTAGGTTATTGAGCCTTGATTTGATTTTTTGGGTAAACTTTATACACACTACACACACATCATGAATGTATAACTGAATTTTTACTAAGTTTGGATCTCTCTTTTTTTTTTTTTTTAGAGGCATGTTTTTATTTATTTATTTGTTTGTTTGTTTGTTTTGTTTATACATGCACTGGGTACAGTCAGAAGCGCGGGAGGGTGAGAGAATTCACCAGAGCCAGAGCGGGGAGCAGAGCAGGCAGACTGACGAAGTACACTACTGAGGGAAGCAGCAGGCGGCAGGAGAGGTCTGCGCGCCATGTGGGACCCTCCTCTGGAGGCCGGGGAGCAGCCGGGGATCAAACCGGCGCCGCAGAGGCCGCGGGCAGCTTCGCAACCCAGCGCTCAACTGCTGCGCCACCGGGGAGGCCCAAGTTTGGATCTCTTTTTATCTCTTGTGCTGAGATCTGTTTTCTCTCTGGAAATTCTGCCCTGTGTATTCTAGCCACATGGGTCAGGGAGACTGTAGTACTTTGTTTGGGTTCCCCTTCCCTGGGCCACAGGTCAGAACTAGCCTCTAGGTGGGAAGCTAAGGTGATGGTAGACTCATTTATTCCTTGCTATTGGGGATCACAGACCTCCCCCCCTCTTTTTTCAACTCTTGCCTAGCTTTCTAGTAGTTATGCTTGGAGAATAAGTCCAGACCTTGTTACTCCACAGCAGTGGAGGGTGGGGCTCCAAGCTCAGATGCCTGCAGGGGCCAAGCAGGCCCCAGATAAAAGAGGATGCTGGGGAGTTTGGGGACCATGACAAACTCAAGCCCAGGTGGCTCAGTTTGAAGGAAGCAGCAGCTGCTCTCAGCTGTCACTGGTGCTGCAAGATCATCATCTGCTTTTTCAAAACAAACAAAAAGATACACAACATTTAGTTAAATCTTGGTACTTTAAATTATTGTAATGAATTCTAAAACAAATGAAAATCACTGCACAGGGCTCCCCCTCCCCCTTTTCAGAATACAGGAGAATATGATTGGGCCCTAGATCAAGATGATGCCACTACTTGGTGTTCACCGAAAATTATTTTGCTTCCAGAGCTGATTTGCCTGTAGCTGTCTCTCAGCTAGCAGCCCAGTCTCAGCTGAAAGCTGCAGCTGTAGGAAACACATTATCTCAAAGGCTGCTTTATTGACAGCATGAAGTAAGGAGGGCCCAGGTGAATTGTCCATGACAGTGTGTTGACTTCCTGGGTGGGGTTCCCAAGTAAGAGATTCATTTGTACTCTTAAGGTGGGAGAACTTTTGAGTTACCTTTTAGTTGAATTTTCTGGCATTGTCTTTAAAAAAGTGTCTAAAGCAAAACTAAAATATGTTTGGCAACCTCATTTGGAAAGTAGGAAGTAATTACTCTTGTTTTTATAACAGTCTTCAGGATAGTGTAGCTGATGATAAGTACAGCGTCCCTTTCCCACGGTACATTTTAGGTGCATTTTAGAATCTAAAGTTCTGATGTCAATGGGTGTCTTCTTTCAGGTTCTTTTTGCAGATGTGGCTGGTGGTATTTTGCTTTTAGTGACTTTACTTCAGACTTCAAAATTTCGAGTATCTGTTTGTAAGCTAAGTTCTAAATGTTGCAGCTTAAGTGTTTTGGTGTTTTTTTTTTTTTTTAAATGTTGGTTTTGAACATTGTGGAAAAATAAAGTTGATTAATGAGGTGAATTTAAAGAAATGCCTAAACTAAAATTTTAAAGTAGACCTGAAATAAATTCAGTTTTGCAGCTTAAGCCCTAATAGTTTGTTAGAATTCATGAGGCTTTACTTACATTCACCTTGCAGGTCAGGAGCTGGAGGCTCAGAAAGAAGAATAACTTAGAATCAAGGTCTACTAGCCTTCCCTGCACACAGATGCTTTTAGCTTTTTATGTTCATGATCTTGAGTATATGAGGAGTGGGGAGGAAATACTTTTCATTCCCAACCTTTGCTGCCTCCTCTATTCTGCTGTGGCCCTGTGGTGGGTAGCTTGGGCACAGGTGTGTGTGGCTTTGGGGGTGCGACTTCATGTTTTTCAGAACTGCATTATAGAGAACACAGGGATGCCTAGGAAAGGGTGACCCCTCAGAGATGGCAGCCAACCAACTGGAGCTGTAGTGGGTAGGGCATCTGCTCTGCCCCCACTGTCTGGTGAGGGTTATGGTGTCATGACCCTCACCTGTGCCTTCAGGAATCTTATGCTCTGGTCTTCAGGCTGAGCCTCCACCAGAAGCAGTCTCAGGATGGGGTGGAGTAATCTGGTCCCCAGGAGGTATCTGGGGATGGGGGGATGCATTAGCATCTAGTATGTGAGGCTGACCTGCTGCAAACAGCACACGGGGTAGCCCCCACTGCAAGGAAATATTGACCCAAATATCAGCAGTGAGGTGAGGAAGCCCAACCAAAGGCACTTCCGTGTACCATCCCTTAATGCACATGGGCCATTGGTTTTGAACTTCGAGCCAGACACCCTTTCATGCACATAATAGCCAGAGACTTGAGAGAAGCCTGGGGACATAGTGGCCAGGTCCCTCTGGAGGCTCATGAAGGACAAGGAAGTTTTACCTTTGAAACTGTGATCCACACATTACTTCTTTTAAAAAAAATAAGGAGCTGGGAATACTATTCAGCGATCAAAAGAGATAAACTCATGTCATGAGAAGGAACGGGAACATGGATGGAGCTGCAAGGGATTACGCTGAGTGAGATAAATCAGGAGGAAAAAGATAAATATTGGATGGTTTCACTTAGATGTGGAATATGGGGAAACTGAAAAAAGGGTCAGGAAAAAGACAGCACTTCCAAGCAGACCTTAGATCTGAGGCATCCAGTGGGGGAGGAGGAAGAAGAGGGGTCAAAACGGGGAAGGAAAGAGCACAAGGGACTATGGTGATGGGTCATAGGTGCTGGTGTGGTGGGAGAACTGCAGGGTCCCCACCTGAGGAGGGACATCAAATATTGCCCCAAAATGAACAATGATATAAGAAAAACAAACAAACAAACAAACAAACAAATGGAGCTAGAAATCTCTACACTGCAGAGTTTCCATTCCATTGGAGGGGAAAGATGACATGTAAGATGAATATGTAAAATATGTGTCCCATGTGAAGATAAAGCTATGGAGAAGATCCAGAGGGGAGGAGATCGGGCAGGGGGCTTGTGGGGGAAGGGACTTGCCTTTTTAAATAGCCTGGTCCGGATGCCAGTGAGAAAAAACTTTGAGGCTGTTGCAGTTCTTTTCAAATGTTTCTCTCCATCCTTTTCCATTTCAGAACAACAAAGTCAGGCGTTTTGCTTTTGAGCTCAAGATGCAGGATAAAAGTAGTTATCTTTTCGCGGCAGACAGTGAAGTGGAAATGGAAGAGTGGATCACGATTCTAAACAAGATTCTCCAACTCAACTTTGAAGCTGCCATGCAAGAGAAGCGCAATGGAGACTCACATGAAGGTGGGTGCAGCTTTCTCCAGGATGTGCCCTCAGCAGGGCACTCATATTGGCCAGAGGGCACAGCACCAGACACAAGCTTGTGAATTCACAAGCTGCAGGGCGACAGGACGGATGGGAACTCTGTGCAGATAGCTGTCAGCAGAGATTTCATCACGTTAGCAGTTACTACCTGACATCAATTTTATAATGAAATCGTGTCATTGTAAGAATTACCGCTGGAGGCAGAATGGAAGACCCAAGTTCAAGCCCATTTTTTCTTGGACAAGCTACATACAGTTTTGAGCCTCAGTTTATGCCCCCATTAAATGGGAATAAATACAACCATGTCTGGTTGATGAAAAGATGAAATAATGTATCTCAAGTACCTGGTGTCGTGTCAGCACTTAAAATACTAATTACAGTTATTGTTATCATTGATTGGATGCCTTGGATTTTTCAAGAGAGAGCTAGACTAGGATGGGCAGAAACCTCAGGTTTAAACCTGTAGAAAAAAAAATCTGGCTCTGTTCTTGCCATTCATGTTTTAGTTTAAGTCCTTCCTTTGGGGCTGTGCCTTAGAAATTCCTGGGGATTTTTTCAAAATACTCTTTCCTTTGCCCTAATAAAGATTCTGATTTTGATGGCTGGGCAGACCTCCCTTTTAGTGGGTCTGATGGGAATGGGCAGGTGGGCTGGGGTCGTGGTTGGTATCATTTCTGGTTGCACAGTGCCCTTGCTAACTGTTTAATGCTCACACGGAACTGGGCATTGTAGTTTATAAGAGCTCTCAGGTGTTTCTGATGGACATCCAGAGTTAAGAACCACTGCATTCAAAGACACAGATGAGAATGGCCTTCTGTTTCCTGTTTTCAATAAAATACATTCAGCTACAAGTGACTAGGTTCATCTGTTTTGCCATTTTAGATGATGAACAAAGCAAATTGGAAGGTTCCGGTTCCGGTTTAGATAGCTACCTGCCCGAACTTGCCAAGGTAACATCATCTTAACTGTTCTGCTCATCATGGAATGGCTTTGAGATGTCTCCCATGTTGTGAATTTGTCCAGGATGGAATCTCTTTAAAGGATTAATACTTGCTAAGTTAAGGATTAACTAAGGATTAATACTTGTGACTAAGTCACAAATAGGAACTGTGATTACCCATCTCTGTTTTCTACCAGAATATGAGGGAGGTAACATTACTGGCCTAAGACAAGTTTCAGTCTGTTTTGCAGAAACCACCTTACTAAGTGTTCTCTTTTTATAAATCATGAAATGTTTTCTCACCATAATATTTAATACTCTTTGGTGAGAATTGAGGAAATAGCCCAAATACACAGAGTCTGCAGAGTAACACAGCTCTCTGTCTTCATGCATGTCCGTGTCTTGGTTCACGGATAGACACGGTTCCACTCAGGGACGGAGCCGTGGAGATCGAGCCCGAGCCACTGACACAAAGAAATGTGTCCTGAGTTCATTGTTGCTGAGTCACGGAATGAAAGAAAAAGTTCTGTTTGTTTTATATAACTCCGAGAAACTTAACACATCACTGAAAAACACAAAGAAGCGTCACAACCATAGTCCTATGCCCAGATTCAACCCCTGTGACTGTATTACCTTCCTAGCTGCCATGATTTTAAAAGAAATAAAATAGCAGTTATAGCTGAAGTTCTTTTGAAACTTTATTCTGCATCCCCTCTGCCACAGCCTCAGCTAGAAACAGGCACTCTGAAGGTTTTTGGGGCTTACTTTCATTTGATTTTTATGTTTTTACCAATATGTCTATCATAATAATATGAAGGATTGTGGCTTGTAGGCTTAAAAGTAACTGCCATATCATAAATGGTAACATATTAGTCTATATGTGCTTGTGCTTTTAAATTCAGCCTTATTTTTGAGCTCCATCCAAGCTTTGTATAGATCTAGTTCATCCCTGCATTGTCTTGTTCGGCATTATTATAGCTGTTCTATTATTTCCAATTTTTTTCTATTACAACAATGCTATAATGAATATCCTTGTCTCCTTGTGTGCATCTATGCATGATTCTTTTTTAAATGAGAAAAGTATCTTTGTCTTCTCTGGCCCTTTATAGTCTTAATCTCTTAGAGCCTTTCTATTCTTTTCTTGCCAATACAGTGGAATGGAGACCCCACACACCCACCTCTTAAACACTGTCATAGAAAGCGTGGTTTATCTATATACAATTATAAATAGACTCGCATTCAGCACTGACCTTTACTTTAAGACAACATGACTGTTCTAAAATATAAAATCTCCCTTCCTGGCTGGGACCTCTGAGTATTGTTTTTCTTTAGCACTTGACTGTTACCGCAGTGTCTTTTTAGCACCTGCCTATTAAAGCTAATTTTAGTGCCACCATTGTAACCTCCTCCTAGCTCGGGAGAGTTTTGGGTGCTGTGTTTGTATTCCTCTGTTGGGAACTTTGTGCCTCTTAGTCTTGTTTCTGGATGTTTAGGGGTGGAAGGGTTCATAATTTGTTAAAACAAAATATTTGAACCTGTTTTGTCTGTTGAAGCAGATAGTCTGCAATACAATCTCGAATTCAGAAAGTCACTTTCTATTTACTGGGTGTAGTTGGGGTGGGGGCCATTCGTGCCTGTGTAGAATGAGGATTCCATGGTTGTGCAATCTGAGATTGAAGTGGGGAGTGCTGGGGTGCATGAGGGGAGAGATTGGAGGCTCCCAGCTGTGTTGGCAGGGAGAGTTTAGTTGGGGGATGGAGGGGCCAGGAGATCTGTACAGGGAAGGAAGGTGCAAGAATTGGTCCAGTGGGAAATCAGGCCACAGTTAATAAGATTCCAGAAAAAGGACTAGAACAATGGGGGAGGCAGAAGATGGGGGGTTGAAGATGTGATTGAACTGCAGGTTGCTCTCTGGTGACCTCCTCTTTCGGCTTCATTCATCCTGTTACCCTGGCTTTTGTTTTCCCCTGTGATTGAGACATAACCAAACAGGATATAAGGGAGAGGAAGTTGTTTTAGTATAAAAATAGCTGATGCCTCATTCTGGAATGTAATGGAGGGGGCTTTACATACGATATGAGCAAAATGGACTTCAGTTTTCAGAATATTCTGTATATTCTTGGTCCTATGTTGTCTATTCATATAGCTCTGAACATATTTATTGCTGTCTCATGAGGGAACACACTGGGTCTACCCTAAAACCTGTTCTTTTCCTTCTATTGTTTCATAGGTTGTACCAAACATAGGTTGTCAGTGATTTTAGTATCAGTACATAATCTTATAAACATCTTTACGACACACACAAACATACACCTACTGCATGCACAAACTAGTTAGTTAATTGATCTCTTCCCTACAAAGTCAAGGGGTAATAGGATCGGATTTAAGCCTGACTGCTGTCAACTGAGTAATTCCTCTCTCCCTATTTCCGTGGATCCTACACTGGACTGCAGATACCAGCTCCTTGTGTGGAGACAGTGTGCAGGAAGCCTTCATGTTCCCACCCTCTATTTTCTTCCACAGCTTTTCTATTTTGGAGTCTTTTTTTTTTTTTTTTTTTTAACTCGAAGAATAGCTGGTCACCTTAATTTGGTCTCAGATTTTTGTTTCATGTTAATCCAAAATCGCTCATTTCCTATGACCTTCTACCTTCTTTTGAGCAATTAAACTTCTTTCTAGGCAAATCTTCTGCGGGAGAACTCAGGATGAAGTGTGTTTTCTCAGCCTGTGCTGTCCCGTTGAGGTTGAGTACGGGTCAGGCAAACCCAGCAGCACTTGTGAGCACCCAGACAGTTTCAGAAACCTTTTCAGATTTTTTTAAACCAAGTCAGTAATGGCTTCCTTCTGTATATCCCACCGCAGAAAACGGCGTCCCTGTGCTAGGAGACTTGTCCAGGGCTGTGTTTGTGAGGTCAGCTGGCATTCCATTTCTTGTGCCTCCTTTTTCTACAATGCTTTATTACAGTTTTTTGATGCCAAAGATGAAATGATGGTCCTGGGAAGTTAGATTTCTTGGAAGTAGTAGAAATAAGTCCTAGGAGCTCTTTAAATTAAAAAATAAATATATATATTCTGGTCTCAGAGGATTTTGTGGTCTTTCTGGTCCGCCCTATTCTGTTTAACCCAAAAGTCAACATAATGTTTTTCTGATAGCTCATCCTGAAAATAAGATGCTTTGGCTATAGTCTTTAGCTTTCTACTGTTTATCTGCTCAGAAATAAATCCAAGATACAGTGTGCCTACAGCCCCAGCAGTTCTTCTGGAAACCCTGATGTTTGAGCTGTAATTACTACTTAAAACAGGGGGTTCAATTTAGGGTTTACAGAGTGGGGGGGCATGACTTGTGTTTTAGATGAACCATTCTCTTTGACTTGTGAGCAGGCAATCAGTATTTGCAGAGAATGACTCTGCCAGTGTCCATTTGCTTTCTCCATTCTCCCATGGCTTTCCTTGCCCCTGAGCTCCCCACCCCTCACTCATGGACCATGGCTAGGACAGCTGCCATGGGGGCTTGGGGGAAATCCAGGCCTTTTTCTGCTTTCTCAAAATGGGGTGACCACATGTTATTCTCAGACCACTGGCTTCTGTTTCTTTGAGAAGTGCTGGACAGCATAGACTTCAGGATATATTTTTTTATGGCTGTATTTTGTGGACACATGCCGTGAAAATATATTTTACAAGAGTTATCTTAGTGTTTTACCTTAACAATCAGTGTGCTTGCTGTAATAAGTAAAACTACACGTAATCGTATAAAGAAAGGTTCATCTTTTTCCCTTTATCCTCTTCATCTTTTTCCACGCCCCTGCAAGTCCTTCCCATTTCATCAGACTGATGGCTCGGAGAAATGCCTGCCCATCTGCAGGGCTAGGGTTTTTTTCAATAGCTCATGAGCTCTACCTTGCTCTGAAACTTTTCCTGTCGTGCCACAGTGTTCTACAGTGGTCCTCAGGGTCCGGGAGCACCTGGTGGGCTCCTTTGCATGGCACATAATATCCAGATGTGGAGATGATGCACCTCATTCAGCCATCTCCCTGTTCATGAACATGTAGGTTATTTCCAGGATTAACTTCTACTGACAGTGCACACTAAATGTCACGGCACACGGAGTTTAAATACCTGTGCTCTTATTTCAGTAGGAGCAATTCCCCAAAGTGAGATTTCTGGGTCAGAGGTTATTGTGTTTTTATTACTTTCCCAAAAGGTTGTAAGAAGTTATCTTCCTGTTTCTCTGTGTCTGCCCCAGAGGAATGGAAATGGTATCTTGCCTATTTAGTTTGTGTTTTACTGCTTAATAGTGATATTTTTCATATAATAATTTGCCATTTGGTTTTCGTCCTCTCTCCTTGCCTGCTCATATTCCTTTGTCTTGTCAGCTAGTTTCGGGCTGGGCTCTGAAGCCAGATGGCCTCAGTTAGAAGCCAGGCTGCTATGTATTGTTGCCAGATCTTGGGCTAGCTATTTACCCTCATGCATCAGTGTCCTGTCTTTTAAATGAGGATAACAACAGCACCTGCCTCCAAAGGTGGCACTTAGGGCACTGGCTGGACAGAGAGTTGGCTATTGTCAATAAATATCTGCTTTTGCCATGGTGCTTTTGGCTGTTTATCATCCCTAGCTCTTGGGCAAGCCCACCCCTTCTGAGCTACGTCTCCTAACTGCCTGGGTGTCCCTGGGCAACTCCTTCAGGTACATTTATTTGGTGTCCCCACCTTTTAATATATCCTATGCCTAAGGAGGGGCAGGGGGGGACTTTAAGAAGCTGAGTTTGCTTTGAAATCTGATCGTGAAACCCAGTGCCTATAAGGCAGACGATGAGCTTTTACATTATTCTTACTTCTCAAGTTGGCACTTCTTTCACATTAAGTGATTTCCTAAGTGAAGAAGTCCCTTGGATATTAGTGGCAACGTCAGATGGTGCTTTGCAGGGGGCTGGGACTTCATTTCATTCATGTGTGTGTCCCTAGTGCCTGACACATACTAGATGCTCAAAAAGCATTTGCTGGTTGAGCCGCCTCTACACGACAGTCCTCCTGCAGCACCTGCGTTTTCTTTATCCCACCTTCCAAACGTATTCCCTCCTCCTCCCTTGCTTGTCCCCTCCGTCATAGGCTGGACTGTAAGTCCTACCCCCAGTCTCATTTCCCCCCTCACTGGCTGCCTGTTCATGTGGCCTGAAGCATCCCTGGTTTTCTCCTTTTTGCTGAATTCCACCCCTTCTTCCAATGCGCGGTCCCTATTCCATGACTTTATGAAGGCGTTCTCAATACAAATGCTTAGTTATTCTTTGCTTTCTGGGTTTGGCTGGGTTTTACTCTCAGCCGATGGTCCACTTAGGGCAGGGAACAGATCTTTACTTTTCTTTGGACCCTCCCTGGGCGCTGCCTGCCTGGCCGTCTGTCCTTGTCCATCCACAGGTGCCCAACGCTCCAGGCATGATGTGCTTTCTGCGTTGAGGACGCAGCAGCTTTCAGACATATTTGGACAACTTTAAATCCATATGAAAAGGATTTTTACATGATTTTTATTTATCTTGTTTTCAGAGCACCAGAGAAGCAGAGATCAAGCTGAAGAGTGAAAGCAGAGTTAAGCTTTTTTACTTGGACCCAGATACCCAGGTAAGACCTATTTTAAAACTTGAAATTGACAACTGAGCTAGGGAAAGGAAGCCTTGGGTGGCTTATTTGTTTGCTTGTCTGTTTCCTTTGTATTGATAACAATATAACAATAATGAAAATTTAGGGAAAGAGTTAAAAATGAAACCAACATGTCATCTCATTGCCGTAGCTCAGCCACTGTGAATATCTGATATTCACTAGGTTGTTGGAAATGGAGAGAATTTTATCCAAAGATGTTCTCAAGCCCATGTATAATTTTAATTTCTCATTTAGATATAATTTACTCCATAAAATGACCAAAAGAAAATAATAAGCATCACAGCAGGTGCCCTGTAGCCAGTGATGTTTCCCAGTGCATATCAGCCCAGGGGCAGCCCCAACACAAGCCTTGCAGGCATCCCATCCACATGAGTGTCCCCCCGGGGAGCCCACATGTGCAGATGAGGAGCTCAGAAGCCACCCACAGACAGTCTGTTGGGAGAGGGCACAGTCTGCCGTCTTTCTCCTCTCATATTCTTCCTTCTTCATTTGTGGTCTTTTTTTATTGGAAACTTCTCTTTAACTTTATTAGTAAGTATTTTTCTATACTTTTTCACAGACTTCACTGTTTGGCAGCTTTTAAATGATTGTGCTACAATACACAGAACAAAACGTACCACTTTAATGGTACAATTCATTGGCATTAAGCATTTTCACATATGGTACAAGTATTGCCACCACCCCTTTCCAGAAACTTTTTCATCTTCCCAAACTGAAACTGTGTCAATTAAGTAGTAACTCCTCATTCCCTCCCCCAACCCCTAGTAATCTTTATTCTACTCACTGTCTATGAATTCACCTGTGCTGAAGACCTTATATTTGCAGCCCAAGTATATTTATACTTAAGCATCTGGCTTATTCCATTTAGCATGTTTTCAAGGTTCATCTGTGTTGTAGCATGTGTGAGGATTTCATTTCTTTTTATGACTGAGTAATATTCCATTGTACAGCTATACCACATTTTGTTTATTCATCTGTTGATGCATGCTTGGGTTGTTCATCACTATAATTTTTTTTTTTTTTTATAGAGGCATGTTTTTATTTATTTATTTGTTTGTTTGTTTTGTTTATACATGCACTGGGTACAGTCAGAAGCGCAGGAGGGTGAGAGAATTCACCAGAGCCAGAGTGGGGAGCAGAGCAGGCAGAAGGACCGAAGTACACTGCTGAGGGGAGCAGTGGGCGGCAGGAGAGGTCTGCGCGCCATGCGGGACCCTCCTCTGGTGGCCGGGGAGCAGCCAGGGATCGAACCGGCGCCGCAGAGGCCGCGGGCAGCTTTGCAACCGAGCGCTCAACCGCTGCGCCACCGGGGAGGCCCTGTTCATCACTATAATTTTTAAGCTCTGTGTGTTACTCCATTGGGTAGATATGCCATCATTTATCTGATCATTATAAACTACATAATGTTATAAAATAACAACTCTTATTTTAGGCATTTTCCTTGGTATACATTTATTATGGGATTTTTAAAATGGGAATATAACCTATTTATATATTTACATTTTCTTTTAAAGAAGCTTGACTTCTCATCAGCTGAGCCAGAAGTGAAGCCATTCGAAGAGAAGTTTGGAAAAAGAATTCTCGTCAAGTGCAATGACTTGTCTTTCAATTTGCAATGCTGTGTTGCTGAAAATGAAGAGGGACCCACTACAAATGTAATTTTTCTTAAAAAATATATTTATATTTTTAAATATTCAGAGGTTTCAAATGTGCCGGTTACGTGCAGTCTGGACATGAAAGCTGGTCCTTGGAAGCCAAGTGGTCATAGGTTGGATCTGGATGTGGAGGGTGGTGTAGCCTGCCGGGAGGCCTGTGTGTGAGCACAGGCAGGGCTGCAGGGATGAAGGGGCGAGGGATGTGTAGTGATGCCCATAAACAGGACTCCTTGTCTTCTCTGAGAGCAGTGTTCTCTTTCCCCGAAGCTTGAGCCACAGTGATGGTCTGTTTTGTTTTGTTTTGTTCAGGTTGAGCCTTTCTTTGTTACTCTCTCCCTGTTTGACATAAAATACAACCGAAAGATTTCTGCTGATTTCCACGTGGACCTGAACCACTTCTCGGTGCGGCAGATGTTGGCCCCCACGTCCCCGGTGCTGATGAATGGTGGCGGGCAGAGCTCGCCCGCCTTACAGGACATCCTCCACGAAGCTGCCATGCAGTACCCAAAGCAGGTAGGGCCCAGGGCTGCTGCTGAGACTCACCTAGCACATGCTTCCTAAGCACACACTGGGCTTCCGTGGTCACGAGGGGGGTGGGTAGGTGGGGGGCGTGTGAATGAGACCATTGTATTGACAGCATCTATAAATACACAGTAAATGCAGGTGCAAAGAAGTGATTTCTGCTTTCTAAACCTTCTGCTAATTGCCTCCCCCACACAAAGCCATCTGGAGCCGATGATGGAGCAGGATGAGTCGACTGGTCTACCCTGGGTGCTTCTTTATAGCTATCTTGTTTCATGTATCCTTGCTGCCTTAAAACCTTTAATGTTCATGGGATTTGTTTAATGTGACTGTCAATTCTGCTCACTGAAGAACATCGTTGCCTTCTAGGGAATCTTCTCAGTCACATGTCCTCATCCAGACATCTTTCTTGTGGCTAGAATTGAAAAAGTCCTCCAGGGAAGCATCACGCACGGTGCTGAGCCATACATGAGGAGCTCCGACTCTTCCAAGGTACGGTGACTGTTGGACTCTGTGCTGATAAACAGCTGTTAGGAGGAAAAAGGCTGCCTGTCAAAGTAGATATGCTCCAACATCGCAAAGCTAGGACATCTGTAGACATAGACAGTTTTATGTAGTTTTGCTCTTACATTTGACCTTCTGTGACCGACTTCCAGTCAAGAGGAATGCTCTGTGTAAGTGATCACACCCTCCTGGGATCATTGGTGAAGGAATTACCAGCTCAACAGTATCGTCACAAAGTGCATCCATTCAACTAGAGGCCCTTCCACTTGCTGACATGACTTCTGGGTTGTTGTTCTGATCCACTGAGGCTTGGCAGACAGGGCAGGTTATAGCAGCAAATGTGACTTCAGGTAGGCAAGGGGCAGGAAACAGGCAAGAAGTACGTTTGGGGATTTGTGAGCTTGTCCATTACCTGGGGAGTGCCCAGGTGTAGACGTGCTGTGGGATTATTGAGTATTAGACGGCATCTCATCCCAGACCTCCTTGCACCCTTCAGAAAACTAGGTTAACAAAGGCTTTGTTACTGCTTCAGTGCCCCACAGCTGGAGTGGGCACTTGGCTTTCTAGCACATTCCACAACTGATTAAAGGACCTGGCACTGTCCCTGCTGTTTTATAGTATTTTTAGTTATGAAAAAAATTTTTTTCAGTAAGTGGTCCTCTGAGAGATGACCCCAATACAGGGACAAGGGCTGACCAGCAGCAGGTAGACGGGCCACCTAGAGCCTCTACTTGGGGGTTTCTGAGTTGGTTCACAGGCTTTCTCTGGCCACCCACACCTTGCAGTTGTGCCAGGATAGTTTTAGGAGTCAGAGACCTGGATGCTTTGGACAAATCACCCTGGGTTCCAACTGTCCCACTTATAGATGGGGGAAGATGTTACAAACCCCCCCCACCCCCACCTTACCTTTCTCTAGGATGGCTCCAGGGTCCCACAGGCATTGTAGGTGACCGTGCTGGACACAGCATTGACCACTGAGGCATGCGGGCCCTGGTTGTCATTTATCAGTCCATTTAGCAGTCTTCAAACAGCGTGGCTTCAAACAGGACTCCTTTCTGGCTGATAAAAGCTAGCCAGTCTCCAGAGATAAGCTGTGTTATTTTTGATATCGAGTCTATAAAACCTTGGACGAGAAGCTCCTGAAGCCCTTTTTTGTTTTGATTAGTAATCAGTGAAGGCCCAAGAGATGATCTCCCTGGCTCTGTGCGATACTTTTCCAAGGTGTATCAGCACCGCCTCTGGACCACACGCACTGTTTGTAGGTTGGCGGCTTGTAGTAGTGCAAAGCTCGAGTATCTCTGTGGCCTAGACGTGGTGCCTTTACTGTGCCCTGACCTCTGCCCAAGGCTGCTCTTCCTCGCTTACAGGGTATAGAGCTCAGCCCCCTGCCCGTGACCCGTGCGCTCACCTTCCTGCCACTGCCAAAGCCTGGCATTAATGCAAGGATTAAGAGGGATTAAGACACAGCCATCACCCATCCTAACAGTACTTTGGGCAGAGATTTTACAAAGGGAATTTTCCCTTGTATATCAGAAGTGTCTCCTCATGTTTTCCAAGGTCAAGAATGTCATTTGGAGGAAATTTTTGTCTGGAAGATATTATGAAATCTCTGTAGGTGGCCACCATGAATAAATTTTTTAAAAATGAAAGAAAAGATAAAACCCCAAAGGACAAAATGAGTTTTTCGCTGTGAATTCCCCACGGTTTGTCCCATCGGCCCGCCCATAAGTCTGAGAGCTCAGTCTTCCCTCGCTGTGGGGAGGTAAAGCTGATTTGAAGCCTTGTGTTTTAGCATCAGAGCCTATGCAGATGCTGCATTTTATTCCATAGCATGGCCCTTATGTTAGAACTTAACAATAATGGTTTTTAAATGAAAGTGTTTAAGGAAAATGGACAATCCAGGAAGGTAGCCTTGGACTGCACCCTCATTGAACCCAGAGCCCCAATATCCCCTGCAATCAAGTGTCCTTCCCACTTCCCTCCTGAAGCAGCAGTTCCCACATGTGATTATACAGAGGCCTCAGGCTTGGGAACTGGAAGGATAATGAGAGCATAACTCCCACCTGTCATCTCTATAGTGGGGCAGCCGCCGTGGTGTCCCACAGCTGCTTTCAGCCGGACATAGAGACAGAAGCTCTATTGTTCTGCTTCGGAGTCTTCCAGATGAGCACGTCTCAAACCTAGTGCACACAGGTCACTTGGGGTTGGCTAGAATTTGGGTTCAGACCCAGGAGGTTAGGCACAGGGCCTGAGACTCTGCATTCCTCACAAGTGCCCGGATGTTGCTGGTGCAGGAGCTCTGGAGAGCTCACATTGGCACAGGTGCTGAGTCACCTTTCCCGGGGTTGGTGAGACATTGCCATACTTACATGATGTAAAGCGCCCTTCACAGAGGGTGGCAGAGCCCCACTCTGGCTCTGAGTCAGCCAAATCTCACAGCACTAACGATGTAGTATCCCAATGTAAGCAGGCTTGGGGAAAGTGGGTGTCATCAGCTTCAACTGTAGGGGTGCAGTTGATTAAGAGGCCTGCATGTATACATCTTAAACCAAAAGCAAGCCTGCCTCACTGTGCACTCTAGGGTTAACCAGCCACCCCCTGGCAAATCAACATTGATCATTAGAGAGTAAAAATAGCAGTAATGTACCTCGAAGTACTTAGAAGGCAAGAATAGAGTGAATGAAAACCCAGTTTAAGTTCCACGTATAGTATCCAAATAATGAATGTTTATCCCTCAAGTGGTAGAGATCTGTCCAAGTGCATACGGGGGGCTTTGGGAGCTTTCTGTTTCCACTAGTGTTCTTTTTAATTCTAGTAATAGAATATGCTGGGGCGCAAATCCCAAACATTAGTGAGCATTATTTACTCAGTGTACTCATCAGTCACCCTTAAACGTAAAGGACTATAAGAGCCTATGAAATGGCAAGCGTATTGTCTGAAGACCAAGGCAGACACATATATTTTGGAAACAGTACTCATTCTTTATTGAAAATCAGAGCTAGAGGAATGTTCCCCATGGAATGTAAGTCCAGCCAGTTTCATGACATCCGGCGTGCTTCCTATGCCTTGGGTACGGTGGCGAGAGCATGCCCCAGGAGCTTGCTTTGATGGCTCTTCGGGTTATAATTCTCCTGTCAGAGGGTTGTAGTGTCTCATGGCTGTATTCTGGTATCTTCAAGGTTGCTCAGAAGGTGCTGAAGAACGCTAAGCAGGCATGCCAAAGACTTGGACAGTACAGGATGCCTTTTGCTTGGGCGGCAAGGTAATGCCAACATCTTCTATACCTTTTGTGTATATAGACGACATATATAGAGAGAGACAGGGGCCTCCCTGGTGGCACAAGGGGCTAAGCACTGCACTATGAGGCAATTCACAGCCTCTGCAGCACGAGTTTGATCCCCGGCCGGCCAGGGAGCAACCCACATGGTGCAGCAGACCTCTCCTGCCGCACCCACTGCTCCCCTCAGCAGTGTACTTCGGTTGATCTGCCTGTTCTGTTTCCCACTCTGTCTCTGGTGAATCCTCTCACCTCCTGCATCTTTGGCCTGTACCCCAGCTCTTGTATGCATAAATAAATAAATCTTTATATATAGACTGAAAGGCCGACCAGCTGACCTGCTCTTCTGAGTTCCAGGTAGACATTCTGATGATTGAGAGTTGCATTGAAGTCACTGTGGGAAAAGTATAATTTAGTTAAGTAAAGGTGACTGGGTTTTTTAAAAACCTGTTTTATAGGGCCTGCCTGGTGGCCTACAGGTTGTTTCAACACTGTCACTACTATGGCCTGGGTTTGATCCCTGGCCCAGAAGCTGACCCACATGGCACAGCAGACCTGTCCTGTCTCGCCTGCTGCTCCCCTTAGCAGTGTATTTCAGTAAATCTGCCTGTTCTGCTCCCCACTCTGTCTCTGGTGAATCCTCTTAACCACCGCACCTCTGGCCTACACCCCAATTCTTCCATGCAAAAAAAAACCCCACTTTTTATTAAGTAAGACTAAAAGTTTCCTGGAACTCATAGACAAAGAATTTTGAAATGTGTAAAACTGGAAAATAAGTACCCCTGTATCTGAAGAGCCATTTTTCAGCGTCTCTGAGAGGAGGGATGCTCCTGGGGGGCAGCCATGTCGGAACTGACATGATGACCGAAAGTATTTGTGCTAAACTTGAGTTCCAGGGTCTTGGGTTCGCCTGTGTCCAGCTGTGAGCAGGGGCTGCAGGAGGCCTGTCAACCACCTTTGTGATCTCCATTTCTTAAGCACTGCCTGTGCCTGTGGTTTCCTCGGCACGAGCCATTTGCTGGAAATGTTCTCTAAGTAAATTGAGTTAGTTGTGTCCGTCCTCATAAATATCTCCCATGTTTTTAGATAATGAGATTTTCCTTGGCTACAGCCAATGGAATAATAATTAGTCTTTATATAGAAACCAGAGTTAAGTTGCAGATTAATTTTGGTGGCTTGGAAACTCAGCTCAGAAATGCTGTTTTGCTATTTCAGGACGTTGTTTAAGGATGCATCTGGAAACCTGGACAAAAATGCCAGATTTTCTGCTCTCTACAAACAAGACAGCAATAAACTCTCCAACGAGGACATGCTGAAGCTGCTGGCAGACTTCCGAAAGTGAGTCTCAAGGTCTTAATACCCCATATCTGAATCCTAGATGTTGTTGGTAAGGAGGCAGGAAGCTGGAACACTTTTTAGTGGTTTAACTCAACTTCACAGGGCATGTTGGATGAGTGTGGAACACAGACATAAATTCAAGGATTTTTGCTTAAACAAAAATGCCTCAAATTTCTTTCAATCCTGTATAATCTTTTTAAGAGACTCCAAAGCTTATTTAGGGAATATTTTCTTTCATACAATGCAGCTGGAAGACTAGATTCAGAAAAAAAAAAAAAAAAAAATAGCTTCACCATTTACTTGCTTTATCCTAATGCGAAAGTTTTTTTTTTTTTTTATGTTCATATAAAATCACAGAAAGCTATAAAGTGGAAAGTTAAAAGTCACATGTAAATCTATCTCTCGGGAAAAACCTTGAGTGACATTTTGTTGTATATTCTATAGGGTGATTTTTACGACTGTCTATCTTCGCATCTGGCTGCCCGTTTCTTCATTTATATACAAGAATTATATAAAATATTTTCTTTTCATTAGAGTTCATCCCGGTACATTCTCCTCCTCAACAGTATAGTTAGTGCTCTCCTTTCTAAACGAGTACAGGTAGACTATATAGACTATATACTGATGATTGAGAATTGCAGGCTAGTCTACTGTGGGAAAACTGATTTATTTAGCTAAAGGTGACTAGGTTTGTTTGTTTTTAAAACCTACTTTTTATTATGTAAGTAAGACTAGAAGTTTCCTGGAACCCCCTGAAAAAGGACAATAATTACTTTATGACAATCCAGTATATATGACAATACATTACCCACTATAAAGTGAAACTCTTTAAGAGATGTTAATTTTGACTCCTTAGAATTCTGAAAACTCAGAAGAGAAATAAGATTAAGGTAAACATGAAGGTAAAGAAAGCTCATTCAGTCTTTCTTTAGTTCTAGGCAAACTGATCATACCGTTAGTTTGGTATAGAAATAACAAACTAAGCCTGAAAGGAACCCAGGGTACAGAATCCATAGTGGCTGGCCCTTGGCCGTTCTTTTCATTTCATTATCCTCTCAAACCCTCAACTCTTTCTCTTCCCAGAAAAAGTCTAAAACCCACATCTCTAGCAAAGAAAATCAGTTTTATCACTTGAACAGTAGCTTCTCAGTAGGGAGCTCCTAAATAGCGTGATAGGAAGAGCAGATTCTCAGCCAGACCCACTTCCACCTACTCCCAGCTGTGTGGTGGCGACGACTTGCTTCACCTTGCTTTGCCTCATTGTTATGGGTTGAACTGTATTCCCCCCAAAAAACATGTGTTGAAGTCCTAACCCCTGGTACCTATCAGTGTGAACTTATTTGCATATAGGATCTTTGCAGATAATAGTCAAATTAAAATGATGTCACTAGGATGGGCCCTCACCCAATACCTTGTGTTCTGATACAGAGAAGGATATATTGACAGGCACACAGCAGGAGGTAGCTCATTGAGACAGAAGCAAAGTTTAACTATGCATGGTGAGGGATGGCAACTAGACTTACAAGTGATCATCTCACAGTGCCACACCTGCAGACATCCAGTCCTGACACACCCCTGAGCTAATCAGTGCAAAATCCACATCTGGTTTTTAAAAATTTGACTGAACTTTTATACTAGTTGAATATTGAAATGATGATATTTTGATTATATTGGGGCAAATAAATGTATCCTTTCAATTCTTTTTACCCCTTTCTTTTCACCTTAAATGTGGCTACTGGCCAGTTTAAAATTACTTTTGTGACTTGCATTATATTTCCCTGGGAAGTGTATCTCTAGGACTTTGGCATTCATGTTAACATAACTCACAATGTTCTGTTTTCTCTTCTTTGTAGACCTGAGAAGATGGCTAAACTCCCAGTAATTCTGGGCAATCTAGACATTACCATCGACAATGTTTCCTCAGACTTCCCCAGTAAGTGTACGTTCTCTGTAATAAACAGACAAAATCTTGTTTGCTTTTTCCTTCAATTCTTTTGATTTTGGTTTTTCAGATTATGTCAATTCATCATACATCCCCATGAAGCAATTTGAAACCTGTAGTAAAACTCCGATCACATTTGAAGTTGAGGAGTTTGTGCCCTGCATCCCAAAACACACCCAGCCTTACACCATCTACAACAACCACCTTTATGTCTATCCGAAGTACTTGAAATACGACAGTCAGAAGTCTTTTGCCAAGGTGAATGCAACGATCATTTTTATATCACACACTAGTCAGAGTTGATGTCTCGCATCCTTTGATAAATATGGACATATTCTGGTTTTTAGCTTAGTTTTCTTTTCTTTTTCCTTGACTATTACTTTAGGCCAGAAATATTGCTGTTTGCATTGAATTCAAAGATTCCGATGAGGAAGACTCTCAGCCTCTGAAGGTCTGTTTTTTCATGTGTTTGCATGCCTGTGTACTCTGATGTTTTCCATTTAAAAAATTGTGTTGCATGTCAGTCCCCAATGAGATAAATTTAGCACATGCTAATTGACACAAACACAAAAAAATAGGACATTGCAATATATGACCAGATGTGGTGAACCTCACAGAATATGGAATTGATTGAGCTCGTGCTCCTACTTGACTGCTTCTCTTTTGTTAGACAATAAACAACTGTTTCTTAAGCACAATCAATCCAATAAATATGTGCACCTTCAATAGGTCAGACCTTGGGTGGATGCTATAAATTTAGGGATTAGTAATACTGGTCATAGAAATAACAATAGGTTGGCATTAATTAAATATTAATTATAGCATAGAAATGATCATGAGAGATTACTGGTGATGTTTTTAAATGGTTATTATAGTCCAGATTCTGTGCTTTAGCACCGTATGGGTGTTAAACAACTTTAATCCCCTTTTTAATTAGGTGCTATTACCCTCTTTTTTTTTTTAAACGAGGATACTAGTGTCCAGATTTAAATAAAGTGCTGAGGGTCATATGTTAGTGGCACCAGTGTTCAAACCCAGGCAGTCTACCCAGAGCTCAGGCGCTTTGTGGTAACTATAGGAATGGAAGGAGACAGTGATGCAAAAGAAAATATATGCAGCTTTTGCTCTCCAGAAATTCAGCTTAGTGGGAAAGACAGTCATGGAGAAAAATCTCCCAGCACACAAAAGGTATTGTTTTTGGACCAAAGAAATAATTGGTACAGCAAAATGCTGAGGAGCATAGAGGCAAGAATCAATCATTTCTTTCCTTCTTTTTTTTTTTTTAATATATCTTTATTAAGGTAACGTTGGTTTACAGCATCATATTTAATTTAGGGATACGGAATCACCCCAATTCAGAGGTATTTTACCATATCACCCCCACAACGAAAGCCCCATAATCCTCCACCACTGTTCATTGGGCCCCGCTCCCCCCACTTTGCTCCATACATCCCACCTTCACCCCCAGTAGCCTCAGTTCTACAGTTAGATTTCTAGGATTTGTTTTGGTTGAGTTTGGCTGATCCTTTGTTGTGTTTCTCTGTATTTCCATGTGAGTGAAACCATCCATGTTTGCCTTTCTCCGTCTGACTTATATAACTCATTTAACGTAGCATCAACCCTCCAGTTCCATCCATGTTGTCACACGTGGCAAGATTTTCTCTTGTTTAAAAGCTAAGTGCCATTCCACTGTGTGTACAGACCATGCCTTCTCAGTCCACAACTCTGTCGTTGGCCACAGAAGTGCTTTCCGTAACGCTGTTGTCAATAGTCTGTGAATGAGCAGAGGAGTTTTCTCAAAGGATGGATGAGGGTTTGCTTGGCTCATAGAGAAAGCTGGTCACTCACACAGAGGGACTGCCTAGACAAAGGTGCATGAGAGGAATGGTGAACACGGCACCATCCGGAGCAGCAGCTTGTAGGGCTGAGAGGGGCGGGGCCAGTGAGGACTGGAGGAGGATCTGAGGCTGGGTAGGACCCTGGACTAGGGGGCTTGTGGGACTGGAGTCTCCTAGAAGAACCCGGCAGGTGGTTAAGGCTTTGCGGCATAAGTAGGTGAGCCTCGTTCTTAACACATCTGAGTCTGAATTCTTACCCTGCTAAATACTGATTGTCTCCCTTTGCGAACTCTTACTCCAGTGCATTTACGGCCGACCTGGCGGGCCGGTCTTCACAAGAAGCGCCTTTGCTGCTGTCCTGCACCATCACCAAAACCCAGAATTTTATGATGAGGTAAGTGAGGTTTTCAAGAGCAACCCAGTTTATCCAGTCATAAGGAAAAATCCAAGTTCTGTGCTTGGGGAAGCAAAATTCAAGAGAAGATACACTTTCTACTAAAATTACAGTGGTGGAATGAAATGCTGATGTCAAGGCATTTATTTTACATTATCTTTTTCTAATTATGAAAGTAACGTGTTTAAAAACACAGACAATATCAGAAAGAAAAAGCCAAGAGCCTTCCATCACTACTACAACTAATATTGTGATTGTGATGTATTTCCTTTCAAAATCTTACTTAAGTGTGATTACGCTTGTAACCATGCCTGGCTGTAAGTACACCTGAGCTACCTGAGTAGCTTCCTTTCTCACCACTGGGTTTGCTTATGTAGATGGTAATGCAGGTCATTAAAGCTACTCTGAGAACCCTCCTCGAAAATGTCCTCCCTGCTTCCTCACCATTCCTGAGCTGCAGGGTCAGAGCAGTGCTTTCTGCTGTGGGTTTTCCACTTTTCTTGAGTTAAAATCCCAGCTTTCCTCTTATTTTTGGTCAGTGAATGTTTTAGTCTGTTTGTGCTGCTATCACAAAACACCGTAGACTTGGGGACTGTTTTTAAACAGGGTGTCAGCATGGCCAAGGGAGGGCCACCTCTGTGGGCCACCACCTTCTCAGCTGTAGCCTCATGTGGCTGAGGACCCTTTCATGACCCCCCCACCTCCTAATCCCATTACCTTTAGGGGCTAGGATTACAGTGTGAATTTGGGGGAGACACAAACATTCCAGCCACAGAAATGCATTAAGAATCCATTTAAATCCTTTGTACTATTTGCACTCTTGGATTTCTTTGCAAGTATTTCTATCAGTTTGGAGATCAAAAACATACTTGCTCCTTGGGTGACCTGTGGTATGGTGGCTTTCCACGAGTTTTGTCATTCTGGAATATTGGAAAATCATCATCTTGCCTTCCTTGCAGATTAAAATAGAGCTGCCCACCCAGCTGCATGAGCGGCACCACCTGCTCTTCACCTTCTTCCACGTCAGCTGTGATAACTCCAGCAAAGGGAGCACCAAGAAGAAGGATGTGGTTGAGACGCAAGGTTTGCTATTTCCCCGTTCCTCTGATGGTGCACAGCTGGCATAGCAGCTTCTTCCATTTTACTTAGTTCTGAATTTACATCCTTTTGCGGAGTTTTTATATAAGGCCTGTGACGGTAGCATGGCTGGGTCCCCGATGCACATTTGCACATAAGGTTAGAATTCTGACTCCAGAGAGACCACACCTGGGCACAGACTGTGTTCGATTTCAGTGTCCCCTGACCCATAGTAACTGTTCTCAAAGGTCAGACAATTCAAAAAAATTTCACTTTGCCTCTCTTCCGTGTTTCTGTATACTGACAGAGTTTTTTGTCCTTTGTTTTCCAGTTGGCTACTCCTGGCTCCCCCTCCTGAAGGATGGCCGGGTGGTGACAAACGAGCAGCACATCCCTGTCTCTGCTAACCTCCCAGCTGGCTACCTCGGCTACCAGGAGCTGGGCATGGGCAGGGTATGTAGCTTGGCCTTTATTTTATCCCCATTGCTACAGAAAACCTTAAAGATCACCTAACACAATAGTAACACGAAAAAGCACACTCTACTTTTTACCGCTGCAAATATTTTGGTTTTAGTTAGTCATTTTCAAGCAAAGCAGGTCATTGGAAAACAGTGCTGTTAACAGTTGCTGCCATCTAGAATTATAGCTGATATGCCTGGAGCTGGCAGCACCTTGGCAGGGAATAGAGACTTGGAGACTCTAGATGACATAGATCTTTGACTCTGCAAAGCAGCTGCACTCAGATACAGATGTGTTTTTAGCATCTCTTAGAAATTTTTGAAAATATTAGGGTATATCTTCCAGCCTAATGTAAATCGAGTAAATAAAGCTTGCATCCATCTGTTGCCCCACCCTATTTCCTTTCTGATTCATTAAAGCCTGGATTGTCTGATATTTCTCTGGTTGGTTTGTTGGGTTTGCATATTTTTAGCCACCCTAAATTTTAGAGACTTTTTGTTTTTATAAAATGCTTTGATAAGGTCTGTTTCCTTTTGTTGTGAATGACTTTTAATATTTCTCTATTGAAGGCATGCCACATTTGGGCCTATTTAAATAATGCTAAATTTGAGCCTTTGGTATGACTCATTCCCAAATAAAGTAGTGGGCAATTCAAATTCTTAGTCCAAATAGGAGAAAAATAGAGATTTCAGAACATTGAAACACATCACTCAGTCAGTGATGGCCCTTGACCTGGCCAGTGCTCACTTCCTCTCTGCTTTATCTGGCACTTTCAACCTTTTCTTTCCATATCCTGAGCTCAGGCTTGGTTAAGTCATTGGTTAAATTGAATTTTCCCTCTCAGATGGACAGTAGCTCATACAGCTGCGCCTAAACAGAAAAGGCCACCTAGAGATTGCAGGATGAGGGGCGGAGAGAGGGCAGAGGTCAGTCCAGGCACAACTGTCCTGTCCCTGAGCTGCATGGGCCTTGGATGCCCTCTGCAGACCCTCATTGAAGATGGGACTTGAAGTCAAGATCACTTATCTGTTGGGGGGTCTTCCCCTCTGTATTTTTTCAGCATTATGGCCCAGAAATTAAATGGGTCGATGGAAGCAAGCCACTGCTGAAAGTTTCAACTCACCTGGTTTCCACTGTGTATACTCAGGTAAGGGCCCTTCCATCAAAATTAGCAACAGTTGCCCCAAGAATGAGTTTGCATCAATTTTTGACAAAACAAAATCCTACTTGATACATAATCTGGATATATTTTTATTGTATACCTCCTTTTTTAAAAAAGGAAAGGCCCCAGTTAGGGGCTCATAGCACTGTTAGGATTGACTAGTACAGATAACGCGTCTCAACAATTTTCCTTCTTTGTTGAAGGGTCTTTAAAATCTTTTTGTAAATTGATTCTTGTTTTCCCCTTTGGTGGGTTTTTTTTTTTTTTTTTAAGATTTATTTATTTATTTATACAAGCACTGGGTACAGTGAGAAGCACGAGAGGGTGAGAGAATTCACCAGAGCCTGAGGGGAGAGCAGAGCAGGCAGACTGACGAAACACACTGCTGAGGGGGAGCAGCGGGCGGCAGGAGAGGACTGCGCGCCATGTGGGACCGTCGCCCAGCTGCCGGGGATCGAACTGGCGCTGCAGAGGCTGCGGGCAGCTTCGCAACCCAGCGGTCAACCGCTGCGCCACCGGGGAGGCCCTGGTGTTTTGGTTTTTATGACATGAATTTCATAGTCTATATAAACCACACCTGCTGCAGGAAGCCTCCTCTATGGCACATATATTTCCACAGCGGATATGCTCACGGCCTTTCTTTTCTTTTCCTCCCTCCAGGATCAGCATTTACACAATTTTTTCCAGTACTGTCAGAAAACCGAATCGGGGGCCCAAGCCTCGGGGAATGAACTTGTAAAATACCTTAAGGTACCAGATGGCTTTCTAGTAACCCCCTGTTGAAGAGTTTGAGTTTGGAGGCGAGTGTTGTTTTGGGCCTTGGGAGGGAAACTCACAGGAGGGGTGACCCCTTAGTTGGGCGACCACATCAGCAGCTTCTGTGTGGTTTTCAATAGTGCAAGAGCTCAACTTCTGCCTGGTTCCACCTGTGCTTCCCGTGAGCATACCTCAGGCACATCACTCCCACATAGAGAACCACTCACCTGCATGGATCCATCCTAGGGGTGTCCACAGGTGCAGAGCACAGGGCTGGCCCCAAGAAGCGGTGACTTCAGTCCCGTTGCTGAGTAACTTCTGATCCATTGTAGGAGAAAACATGCCCCCACTGAATGCCTGAATAAAACAAGCGGAAATAATATCCGTAACCAATCCCAGCTTTGTGGGGGTGAGGGGGACATCAGGGAGCCCTGGAGTCATTGAACAGTGAGGGCAAGGGAGGGTTTCTCTGGAGGAGTTTCATCCAGAACGTGACTCTAGGGAAACATTGAAACAGGAGAGAAGCTAAGAGCATTCCAGGAATGGGGCTGAATGTGAGAAATGTGAGAGACAGAGTAAGGTTTAGTGATGGGACCTGGAAAATGGGGTGGGGACTCCACTTTTCCAGGTCCCCTTTTAGGGTCCTCACAGAGGCCTTTAAGAAGAGCCTTGGTATGGGTTTGCTCGAGCTGCTATCACAAATACCACATGAGTGTGGTGAAAACCATATACATTTATTTTCTGGCACATCTACAGGTCAACAGTCTTGACTCTCACTGGGTGGAAACCGAGGTGTTATTCACAGGACTGAGTTCATTTCTGGGAAGTTTGGGGTGAATCTGTTCTTTGTCATTTTCAGCCTAGAAAGGCTTAGTCTGGCTCCTTCCTCTATCTCAAAACCAGCAAGTGGGGCATCTCTGACCCCAGTGCCTCAGGCGTGTCTCCCCGATGCTCCTCCCCTTCCCACACCCCCCAGAAGCCCCTACGATCACACCAGATAATCCAGGGAGCAAGCTTAACTCCCTTCTGTCATGTGGTGACACGTCCTGGGTTCTGGGCATCAGGGTGTGGACTCCATCCCTTAGGCTGCCTGCCTCCGCCTCCCCCAGTGTGAATGGACCTCTTCTATCCCGATCTGAAACAGTGGAACGTGCTTGAGTTTCTGCTCTTACAAGGATGACGTGAACTTTGGCTTTCTGTGTCTCTAGAGCCTGCATGCAATGGAAGGCCATGTGATGATCGCTTTCTTGCCCACCATCCTGAACCAGCTGTTCCGCGTCCTCACCAGGGCCACCCAGGAGGAAGTGGCCGTCAATGTCACACGGTAAGAGAGGTGGAGGGCGGAACTCCCCCTCGCCAGTCTGTCAACATCTGGAGCAAAGTCCTCTGTACCTGGGCGGCTAAGATGTGGTGACGCAATGGCTAAGAAATGTCTTGAGGCTCCATTGTGGGGACCCCTGTCTGATTCCTTGTGTCCTCTGGGGCCAAGGAATGGGGCATCATCACTGTTCTTCCACTGCTGTGATGATAGCGAGATGCCCCATTCCCATCCCTGTTCACCACTTTCTCCACTCCGTGCTGTCCAGGGTCATCATCCACGTGGTGGCCCAGTGCCATGAGGAAGGACTGGAGAGCCACTTGCGGTCGTATGTTAAGGTATGTGAAATAGACCCCATCATTTCTCTCTGTGGCTCTCCAATTTTCCTTAAAGGACTTAATTTTTAAATAAAGGCCTAATTATTGGGGGATTTATTTTGGGGTGAAACCTGATACCTCTGCTTTCTTTCTCCTCTCTATCACCTAACCAGTTCTTGTGCCCGAACAAGGGAAAGTGCAAAGCAGGTAGCCATCCACGTGTTCACTGAGCTGTGTTCCTTTCACTACATTTCCCTCAGTGGGTTTTACAAATAATGTGACCCAAGTGATGTGGTATTTCAAAGAAGGGTTTAAAGTCTTTCTTGGTTCGCCCTCTGGTGTCGCTATCATCTTCATTTTTTTTTTTTCCATCAAACATTCCCAGTAAAACTGAGGTTACTTTCAACCAACATCAAATTGGAGGACTGTCAGACAGCCAGAGACGCCCTTAGGATCGACACCAATGAGTCCATCCTCTATGCACCGTACTTGGTACAGTGGCGGTGGTTATTCTAAAAATTTGCACCACTTCTATTGAGTTACAGGTGTCGAGAGAATGAGAGCTCTTGTGAAAGTGAGGTCCAGGTCTTCGGGGTATCGATTACCAGTGTGGTGGGTCACATTCCTCGCATCCTTGGGAGGTGGAGTTGGGGGCTTGAGGGCCACTAAGTCAGATGATGGACATCTTTCCTGGATGCCCTAAGATACCCCGGGCTCCCTTTTTATGTCACATGACAACCAGCCCTCCCACCTTCCATTTGCACACCCTCCTCTCCTACCTGGGACCTGGTTTCCATCCCCGGAGCCTCTCCTGCTTGCAGCCCAGCATGGAGAGCCAGTATGGTGAAGTCTGCTCCCCTTTCTTCACAGTATGCATATAAGGCTGAGCCTTACGTTGCTTCTGAATATAAGACGGTGCATGAAGAACTGACCAAGTCCATGACCATGATTCTCAAGCCTTCCGCTGATTTTCTCACCAGCAACAAACTACTGAAGGTACATGCTGGGGGGAGCAGGGAGCAGTGTGGTGCTGGGGTATTGGCATTGAGGGGAGAAAATTCCAGCTCCACAGCCCAATCTGGTCACCCTTTTGGTGTGTATTTAGAGACGGTCTTCTCTTCTGAAAAAGGGGTGACACATTGAGCTCTTCAGTCCCCACGTTGCTGCTAGCCCTCCATTTGGAGCTGCAGCGTATTTCCCCATCATGTCATGGGCTCTTAAGTCTTAATAAGTCCCTATATTCAAGCCTGTGGCGGAGGCTGAGGGAGCGATTTTAAAGGAGGGTCAGCCCGAGTGACTCAGCCAGGAGGATGGTGAATCTAGGGGTGCCTCTGCTTTGACAGCATGTGCTTAATTTCTGGGGTGGAGGGGTTGCTGGTTGTTGGACATTGAGAGCAGGAGAACCTCTCCCCCACCTCTGGGCTCATACTAATTTTCCAAGAGGTGAACTGTGTTCTGGTGTCAGAGCTGTTTCATGTCACCATCATGCTTAGCCCTCAGAGAGTACACATCTCACCTCAAATTTCATTGTTTTGCTGACTGGGATGCCCCTTTTTTTTTCTTTCAGTACTCGTGGTTTTTCTTTGATGTCTTGATAAAATCCATGGCTCAGCATTTGATCGAGAACGCCAAAGTTAAGGTATGTCGCTTCCTATAGAGGCTTCCATGGCAGTTCTTGAGGGAAAGTGTCTTTCATTGTGTTTGTGGCAAACATTTAGTAACACTTTGTGTGTGCCCATGACAGTGCTTTCCCAGTTATGGAACATTTGGCTTTGCTCCAGCCCAGTGGGGGAGGTGACCGTCTTACATTTTAGAGATGGAGAAACTGAGGCCAGTTTGCCTGAGCCAGTTGCTGAAGGCCACGCTGCTAGTGAGTGGGGGGAGGCAGGCCTGGAGACCATCTGGCTCCAAGGCCCACACTTCTGACACACTGCTCTTAAGCCCAAGGAAGGTTTTTCTTCGATCAGCCTAGAAATCTTCAAGTGTGTTGGTGCAGGAGCGCCAGCAGCATGTGCACGCATTAAAGGGCGACTGCTGGCATGTCTTAAGCGTCTTACATAGGGAAGAGCTCCCTCAGGGACTTAGCTGAGAGCGTCTGACCTGACAGCACCTCCTCTGGAACGTGACTGGATTCTGGGATGACTGAGTCTCCCCCAGTGCGTCCTCTCCTCTGGGTCCCCATGCTGTCCCCTGCACCCACTCGTCTCTGCCAGGAGAGGACTGGGCTCGCAGCTGGACCACTGCCCTTTGCAGTGTGACTGGCTGAGGCTCAGTGCAGGTAAATGTTGGTAAAACTCCAGCTCACTGAATGTGGCGTCATGTCAGCTTTCCTTCTGTGTGGGACATGCAGTGCCTGGGGCTGCCATGAACACTGGGAGGAGGTGCTGAGCGCCTGGAGGGTCTGCTCAGCTGGAGGAGGTGCTGGAGGGGGTCTCTCCAATGGAAGCAGGAAGGAAGGAGGAGCCACATGGTAGGAGGGTTAAGGTCCCTGGACAAGGGGTCTGGGCCCTCGAAGGAGCCTGGGGCAGGCTGCACACCCAGATCCCAGGCGGTACTTTTGTCAAGGACAGCAGGTGCCAGTGCCCAACCAGTGCTTTCTTTTTCCCCTTTTAATCTGGTTTCAGAACTCAGGGAGATGGCAGATGGAGGTGGGCCCTGGCCCTGCTTTCCACAGTGTAACTCACCATATAAATCCTACCAGGACAGCCTGCCAGGGAATAATCTAGCAGATTGTCCGCTTGGCAGCATGCAGCTGAGCTCACGTGCCTGCCATTTGGCTGAGTTACCTTTCTGTTAAAAATGTTGTCATGTATGGGTGGGCTTCAGCGCTTTCTAGTTTGTTCAGGCTGCCATAGCAAGTACTCCAAGCGAGAGGCTTAAGCACCGGGGTTGTATTCCCTTACACTTTGCAGGCTACAAGCCTGAGGTTGAGGTGCGGGCAGGGCTGGCTTCCCCTGTGGTCACTAGCCTGGATGTGCTGACCGCCGCCTTCTCCATGCTCTCACGAGGCCTTTCCTCTGTGCTGTCTCATCCTAGTCACCTCTTCTTGCAAGGACGCCAGTCCTAGTAGATGGAGGCCACCCTCACGGCCTCGCTTTTAACTAACTTACCCTTGAGAGCCCCTGGCTCCATGTACTTCCTCCCATTCCACAGTATTGGGGGTAAGACTTTGACACAGGAATTTGAGGGGACCCAGATCAGCCCCTAACAAGGACCTACTGGATTTCTCAATTTTTGTTTCTAAATAAAAGTTACTGCTTCAGAGAGATTGGCGACTCGATTACATTTAAAAAATGTAGCTGACTTGTGCAGAAAGAATTCATGCCTCACTATGTGCCAGACTCCAGCACCCTGGAGTCGCCATGGAGTTGAGTGGACACATGTGTAGTCAGGCCTCTGGGCCCCTCTCCTGGAGTCCAGGGGGTACTGAGCCCCTCTGAACCACTCCCAGGAGGTGCATTTGAAATCAAGTATTGGTGACATCTTTTCAAGAACTGAAGAGAGAGAACAAGGGAACTTCATTGCCTGTGTTCTGTTCTCAAGATGCCAAATTAAACCAGAGACAGAGGTTTGGTCAGAGAGGTATGGACTATAAGGCACCTGGGGCGGACATGTGAGAGGAGCCAAGAGTACTGGGGTCAGAATCGGCCCTCCCAGGGGGCTGCCCTTCCAGGCCTGTGGCTAGTTCTCCAGCGCCTCTGGAAAATGGTCTGTCTTTGGAATTTACACACACCGCTCAGATGCTACCACGCATAACCTTTTCTGTAAGTTAATTATATCTTGGTTCTAAAGTAATATTGAGACATTTTAGAAGTAGTTTATTTTAAAATTGTTACCCAGTTAAAAAAAAAAAAAAAAAAGCTAGCATCCAGAAGGGGAGAGCTTGATGGTAACACAATTTACTATAAAAAGCTGCCGACACCTCCTTAGCACTGTGGAGTTTAACATTCTGCTGCTGGAGGTGCCCTCATTTCTGCTTCATGCCCCCCCCTTCCTTGCACATTATTGATCTGGGAGCTTCTCTCCCATTTTTAAAAGCCTTCATTCAGTTTCCCAGATCACTTAGGAATAGTATGTGTTTGAATTAGTTACGTAATATCTGTCTTATGTTTGCATCTGAAGAATTGGATGTCCTAGTCCTCAACCCCAGTGTTCTGAGTTTAGGGAACAAGTTCATATTCCCTGTTCTTGTACCATTTGTGATTTCCACAGTCATCATCAAATCCCCTCAGTGTTCATCTTTTTGGCTCACCTAGTATAATAGTACTAATATAATTCCATATCTTTATAACCCTGGCCTTGATTTTTTTCCTCACTGATGAGCCTTTCTTAAAGTGGCCTGACCAGCCACACACCTGTCTTGCAGAGGCACCTGAACCATGGATTCTTATTAACTAGAGCCTGGTAGTGTGTTTCATCCTGCAGAAAGTGCCCTTTGTAAGGAAACTGGCATCAAATCTGCATTTGGGGGCCAAGTGTGTATTGAGCTGAGACTGCTAACGTAACACCCTCACCCTCCCAGTGTTAACTGGTCGGGGTCGTCCATCCAGGGCACTCCTACATGAAGGGTACATTTGCAAGCTGCCCTGCTTGCTACAACCCTTGCCCTCTTGCTGGAGGTGGGACGGGCCACATGCATTCCTCCCGGACCCCAGCCAATCAGACCGCAGTTTCTCACATTCGCTGAGGAAGGCAGTGAATCCTGGCCTGTCTTTGAACTAGCATCGAAAATTAGCAGTTTCCTTACTACCACAGATGGGCTGCAGAGTTTGCGTTGATGGCATCTGACTGTGCCAGACCATAACAGGTGACATGCACTTGGGTTTTACAATCAGCAGTTGTTGAGGGAAATATAGACTCTTGAGGCCCCTCAAGCGCCCTCCCTTCCCGCTGTCTGCCTTTATGGTCAACATTTTTTTTAGGTGTCTCTTTTCTGTCTTATATATTTAGCATCTATAATTTTGGCAAACTCATTTTGAACTTCCTTTCCTCCCACACTGAATCGAGCAAATTGTTGGCATCCCACAGGTGTCCTTGAGTCTGGAAAACCTGGCATCGGGGAGGGCATATGTTACCCGCCACTGTTACTTGTCCAGCCTTCAGCCACTGTCTGGTTTAATGGAGCCAGGAAATTGGAAGTGGAAGGAGATTGGCTCAGGTTCTAAGTGGACTGTCTGGACTTGCCTAAGTCGTATTTGTCAGCACCATCCTCTGTGGTGGGAAATGTTAGACACCCAGGTCCCTCCACGAGCAGTGCCTGATCCAGTTGTTTTGCTTGCTGTGTGCAGGGCCCTGCAGTGTAAGGGCGCGTCCTCAACCTCGAGGCTGCTGTGGCCCTCGGGAGAAGAAGCCATTCAGCTTGGGACAGCTAGAGAAGGGTGGGAGGACAGTAAGGTAGAGAAGAGCTGGAACTCCACCTGGGTCTGGAAGGAGAATGAGCAGTAGGCAGAGGAAAGGGTTCATGCCCAGGTAGGGCACCTGTGACTTGCTCTGTGGTAGAACTCAGACTGAGAATAGAAGGTAAAGCATGAAAATCTAGATTAACATCAGAAACAGTGAGGAGATGGGGAACTTTGAGGCCAACCCAGCAGATCTGGTAGAGACCCTATAAAGGTAGTGTGCGGTCTTCAGCAGAAAGATCTTCTCTCTCCCACCTCCTGCCAATCTGCAAACGAGAATCTCCATCCAATCTGGAAAATCTCCATGTTTTTAGAAACATCTCCAAGACTGTCTTTATCATGCTGAGGCTTAAGATCTCAGGTCTAAACCAGAGCAATGGCTAGAATCTTTGTAGAGTACACAGAAGAGAGAAAAACTCACTTTACTTAATTTCAGATTAATAAGATTAGAACTCTGCATTTTTGAAATGGACTCTGGGATGAGATCTTTTTTCACCAAAGGATACAACTTTAAAAAGTACTAAACGTTTGGCCTAAATTCTTTTTAGCTGCTACGGAACCAGAGATTTCCGGCGTCCTATCACCACGCAGTGGAGACAGTCGTGAACATGCTTATGCCACACATCACTCAGAAGTTTCGAGATAACCCAGAGGCATCTAAGAATGCAAATCACAGTCTGGCTGTGTTCATCAAGGTGGGGATCCCCTGTCAAGAGGGTGTTGGATAAGTGACCCCTTACTCTAGAATATAGTCACGCCTACGTGATGTGGCACTAGGTGATCCTGACCTCGTGTGAACACATCGTGCTCTCACACAGACCTGGCTGGGCTTGCCTGCCTTCCCATCCTAGGCTGGCTGGCCTAGCCTGCTCTGTTCCTGGGCTCTGGGCACAGCCTGTTCTCCCAACCGTCAAATACAGGCTCCTATTAAGTATCACATGGCCTTGGTAGGTCATGTGACATGTCACATTGACATGTTAATGTCAATGGCATGTTTTTATGCTAAAGAACACTCTTCTTAATAATAAATCTTTTTTTAAAAAAATGTTTGGCCGTAAATACTTACCATTGTGGGTTGTTTGCTCCACAGAGATGTTTCACCTTCATGGATAGGGGCTTCGTCTTCAAGCAGATCAATAACTACATCAGCTGCTTTGCTCCTGGGGACCCAAAGGTAGTGTCCATGTCCTCCACACCCCCACCCCCCTGCCCCTGCTCTCCCTGATTCTCATCCCTAAACCCACTTCGAATTCTCTTGTTTCCATCTGGAAGTTTGTAGTTCGAGAAGCCCTACTCACTCCCCTGTCTTCAAGATGCTAACTACTACCTGTCTTCAAGATGCTACTACTACTGACAGGTTCTTGCTTGCATGACTTGTGAGCTATTAGGGATGCAATAATTCCAAATGTGAAATAAACACACCTATTGATTTTACTCATCAACAACCTGAAATGGTTTCTCAACTATGAAACTAGAAATTTATGTTGTGAATCATAATTTATTTAACCAGCTCACAGAAGTAGCCATGGCATCTTTCTCTGGTAGAATTCTATCTCTTTCCTCACACGTGTCCTTTAAACTTCTGCCTTATTCATTTTTTATATTGTATTGAGTCTGTGTCTAGAATTATAAGCTGCCTGAAATCCTTTATTGAAGTAGGAGCTGTATAAATAATAAATGCCCAAAAAGTCTGGAGATGACATTGTTTAAGGAAATGTGTTCCTAATCTTCAAACAATTCCTAAAATCTATAATTGTCCAAAAATCTATAAAATAGCATAGACTGATCACATCCAAAAGAGTCAAGAAGGCAAAGATTGGGTTTATTGTTCTTTACCAGTTTTTTAGGGAGCTGTGCAGTACGGTATTTAATGTACATCTAAACATTTTTTCCTGCAGACCCTCTTTGAGTACAAGTTTGAATTTCTCCGCGTGGTGTGTAATCACGAACATTATATACCTTTGAATTTGCCAATGCCTTTTGGAAAAGGCAGGGTTCAAAGATACCAAGGTAATCTATCTTTACCTGTCTTCATCCTAGTCTTTCCACAAAGAGAGCCATTTACTCTTAATAGGGAAGGGAATTGATTAAAACACGATTATTAGAATATTCTGATTTTTTTGTTGCATTAATGTACTTCTTTGTTAAATTTCCATTTTTTAAATCTTAAATAAAAATATTATATGAGAACTTAATTTTAGACAAACTTAGATTACAGATCATGAAAGTGTGACTCTTTTTCATTGAAAAATTTCCTTTGCTGTAACAGTGGAACTCCATTTTATTTACTATAGTTTATGTTTGTTTTAATTTTCCTTTTTCCTTATGAATTAGCTTTTCTTTCACCATCTGTGGAGTCCAATGGCACTCCTGTAGGTAGGTGTGGGGTGCTGATGCTCGCTTTCTTGCATTGTCCTCCTCAAAAGAAAAAGAATGCAAGTGATTGCTGAGATGTTCCATCTGCTCTTCATGTAGCTCTTTCCCGTAGACTCAGCCCAGCAGCTACACCCATGATAAACCAGTGGATTTGTTCTCACTTAGCTGCGACATTGCTGCAACATCCCTGAGAGACAGCTTGTTTTTGCTCCTGGGGTCACTAGGTCCCCTTGGATATCTCTTTTAGAGTAAAACAAACAAAAAAATCCTCACTCTAAAAATATATCATTCCACCATTCTCATAGCCCTTGTCTACAGCCGTGGCAGTGACCTAAACCTCCAGCAATGCGACTTTTCACGTGCTTTTAATGTTTGCATGTTGAGCCTCTAGTAACTGTTCTGCATCCTCTTTGTGTTTGAAGAGTGTTAAGCTCATAGGGATTTGTCTTCATGGAGCAAGTCAAGTGAATCAGATTGGCCTGCCATGTCTGTCCAGTAATATTACCTGAGTTTGGTGCCTTGCATGTGCTCAGGCTAATTTAGGTGGAAGGAGAGAAATAGTGGAAGGACACCCCCAAACGAGCAAGGACACCTTCGTCAACTGCCCCGAGATTCAGAGAGAAACAGGAAAGTTATTCATTCAGAGCCCTGCATAGCTTGCCCCAAAGAGACTCGATGAGGCTTTGAAGGAGCAAGAAGGCAAGGCGTGGCCCTGGGGTTGGCAGTCCGTACCCCACTGACTGCGGGCAGATGGAGCCAGCCGTGAGCAAGGAGCTTGCCCCTGGCTGTTTACCCAGTGAAAGATGTGGGATGTCAGCAGGTGATGTGAGCTAAGGAGAAAAGAATAAGCTAGGAGAGGACCATGAAATGGGTGGCATTTGAGATAAGGGGGGCAGGAAAAGCCTTGCCCAGAAGGTGATTTTGGGGCAGGCATGCCCCCCCCCCCGTCACCTCTCAACCTCAGATCACCACCCACCTCCCTGGGGAATCCTCATCTTCCCAGCCCAGTCAATCAGTTCCTCCCATGGGAACTGGCCAGTTCTTCCCATTCCCTCCCAGCATCCCTCTGGAATTAATTGCTCCCCACCTCACCCTCCAAACTGTATCACACCTTAGGTCACCCCACTTCTACTTGGGCACCTCCTCTCACCTATCAGGGTGCTGAGGACAGACCTTACCCGCTGGGTGGATGGTTTGGGGGTGAGCGTGTGCCAGTACCTGGCTCCCCCGATCCGGCAGGGCCAGGTGTTTATCCTGAAGAACTGAGTCGACTGGAAACCCTACAGGGACTGCAGAGCTCAGTGGATTCAGGGTGTTTGGTGGCAAGAGGGGCTGCCCTAGGTGGTGTCTTGGGTCCCCTCCAGATCAGTACTTAGGTCACCCATGGGGAAAGCCACGTTCTCCTTGTTCTCTCCCTGCTCTGCCCCTTCCTTCTGCAGACACACACATGCGCGCACACAGGTCAGCTCGTCAATCATTTCCTTCTGGGAGGTTGACGTGAATTCAAGCTGTAAATTATTGTTTGGATAAAGTAGGTTTAAAAACCACAAAGAGTAGACATTGCTATTATGGAAAGAATCTTTCCCTTGCTTCTGCCAAAGGGTTTCATAGCACTCAGGCCAGATTTGGGACAGGTTCAGTGGTAACTCTCTAATGCGAAATGAAGTCAAAGGAGAGGGCAATAGATCTTCCCTTAATACTGGAGTTAGCATCAGGGCCCAATGCAGCAACAGCTCGCTGAGAGCAGCGCCCACAGCTGGGTAGCACGGCCACGGCTTTAACTGCCCTCCTCGGAGAGGCCATGTCTGCTTCTGCCTCTTCCCAGAGGAGCTGGCGGCTTTTTCATTTAGCTTGCTCATGATTGACTAGTTGGGTTTAACGCTTTATCCATTTTAGTTTTAGTTTATCTTAGTTTTCTATTTGCTTTTAGAGGAGAGAAGTATTAATAGTACCTTCATTTAAATCCCACACTAAATAAGTTCTCTATTCAGGGATAGCAGAATTAAAGAAGGTTATATGCTAACTTGTTTGTCTTAAACTCATTGTTTTTTTGTTTTTGTGTAGAAGAACTGGGGTGTTGGCTACAGGTGCAGGGCATGAGGGGATTCACCAAAGACAGTGGGGAGTAGAACAGGCAAATTTACTGAGATACACTGCTGAGGGGAGCAGCGGGTGAGACAGGAGAGGTCTGCTGCACCATGTGGGTAGCTCCCTGGCTAGAGAATCGAACTCAGGTCGTAGCAGTGACAGCACTGAGACTTAACCCCTAGGTCACCAGGGAGGCTCCCTAAACATTGGGTTTTAATGAGAGTATAGGCTTAAATGACCAGGCCATGGATAGGTGTACTCTTGTAGTAAAAAAGATTTGAATGGTCCCGCTATATTTATTCTTTCTTTAATTGCATAACTATAGGTTAGTCTTCTATAATACTGTCAATCAGTACAATAACTTGTATTTTTACCTTATGTCAATGATTAGATTACATTTCTACTGTAACAGATGTTGGTCTGTATTCTAAAAATTACACCAAAACTACTTATTAGCTTCATGTTTTTATAAGGCAAAATTTGTTTCAAAATCCAAATATGGTGTTACTATTTGCATTTAAATTTTGGTTTTGTTTAAGAGTTCAGTTGGTTAAGAAGCAGCACAGTATTTTAGGTAACAGACCCTTTCCTGGGAGCTACTGTCATCTCGATAGGCTGCGTGGGCTGAATGTCCAGGGTGAGTTGGGTTCAGACCATATCAGAGCATGCTGCATCTTGCTAACTAAAGCAGCCTCTGTCCTCATTTCAGATCTCCAGCTTGACTACTCACTGACGGATGAGTTCTGCAGAAACCACTTCTTGGTGGGACTGTTACTGAGGGAAGTGGGGACTGCCCTCCAGGAGTTCCGGGACGTCCGGCTGATCGCCATCAGTGTGCTGAAGAACCTGCTGATAAAGCATTCTTTTGATGACCGATATGCTTCAAGGGTGAGTGGGGAATCTGGATCGCTAAATGTCCTTTAAGTAATATACAGAAAATGACTAATTAGAAAAATAGTGACTGACAGCACTGAGACGTCTCCGTTCACGAAACAAAATCAACAGCATTCTTTCAGGAAGGACCCGAGTGCAGGTGGTGGCTGGCACCAGCTCGCTCAGCCGGTCCTAAACCGCAGCCCCAGGAGACCCTGACGGTGTGTGCCTTTGTTACAGAGCCATCAGGCCAGGATTGCCACCCTCTACCTGCCTCTCTTCGGTCTGCTGATTGAAAATGTGCAGAGAATCAACGTGAAGGATGTCTCTCCTTTCCCTGTGAACCCTGGCAGTGTACGTAAGCGTTTGCACAGACACAGCCTGTGTTCATTTCCTGGCAGCCATGAAAAGGTACCACAAGCTAGTGGGGGACACAGCGTATTCTCCAAAATCATAGTCGTCCAAAATCACAGTGTCTGCAGGGCCAGTTCCTCTGCAGGCTCTGGGTGAAGAGCCTGTTCCAGCTTAAAATCCTTGTGTTCTTTGTAATTGCATCGCTCCAGGCTCTGCCTCTACGTGGCTTCTCCCTGAGGTGTGTCTTGGTCTCTGCTGCCCTCTCCTTTTCTTGTTAAGATTTCCAGTGATTGGATTTAGGGCCCACTGCAGTCCAAGTTGGCTTCATTTTACCTTAGATCTTAATTACATTTGCAAAGACCCGATTGCCAAATAAGGTCGACTTCTGAGATTCTGGGTTGGCAAGAATTTGGGTGGACACTTAAACTCGGTACACATCCCTCTCTCCTTTCTCTACTATAACCATAACAACCCACAGGACACTGGTGAACTGCATTTCAGGCTAAGATGGGACCAATCAGCAAGCCTTTGGCTCTTGTTAAAATCCTTATAAAAACTATGCTTTCCTGATAGTCCAATATCTAAGACCTCAGGATCCTTTTTGTGTATTAAAATAAATTATGGTAGGGCCTCCCTGGTGGCGCAAGGCATTAAGCACCGCACTATGAAGCAATCCACAGCCTCTGCAATATGAGTTGGATCCCCAACCGGCCAGGGAGCAGCCCATATGGCTCAGCAGACCTCTCCTGATGTGCCCACTGCTCCCCTCAGCAGTGTATTTCAGTCAGTCTGCCTGTTCTGTTCCCCACTCTGTCTCTCGTGAATCCTCTCGCCCTCCCATACATCTGGCCTGTACCCCAGCTCTTGTATGCCTAAATAAATAAATCTTTAAAAATAAAATAAAATAAATTATGGTAAAGGGAAGTTAATAAAAATAAAAAGGCATGTCTCTAAGTGTGTGCTAGGAAAACTCACTGCCAGCCTGAGTTCTGACAGCAACATGCTATGCGGTCTTGGAAAAGCCACTTCTTGAGGCTCACATTTCTCTGTGCCTGCAAAATTAGAAAGAAAGACTCCATGTCAGGGAGGTTCCAGGAGTGACATGAGGCCCAGCCTCCCAGGACTCACTCCTCTTGTTTATGTTATTTCTGTGCCGTTCTTCAAAAATGTATTAAAAATTAAGTTGACAAAATAGTGAGCCCAGAAATTATCTGAAAACTTTTTGGTTACTCTCTCATTAATTTGGACAACTATTACCAGCTCACCCATTTCCTTTTCTCTCTTATTTGGGACCTTAAATCAACTCAGTTGTTAATCTCACACCTTTGTCCCTATGGTGAACATTTGGGGATTCCCATGCCTGTGTCTGTCCCTTTGCCCCCAACAGTATCACTCTGTCTTCCCGTTACCTCTTCACCTCTGAATAGTCTCCAAAATATTGGTGCATCAAAATGAGCCACAATGATAGAATTTTTTTTTGTGCCCCAAGGGGCATGAGCTTTCATCACCCTTAAATGCAGTGCACCTCACTAATCTCACCCGCTATGGCACTGGTTGTTCTCACCTGTATTCTCTAAGCCTCCTGCTTTCTCACCAGAACAAGTAATTCAGGGCATGTGCTCCGTGTCCCTTCAGTCCCGATAAGAGGAACACGAGGCCTGTCCTTGTGTTCACCAAAATCAGAGGCCTTTTATGCTGTCGCTTCCTAACTCACATGCTCTCACCCCTGCAGCCCAGACTTGCAGAGCTGTTCAGGGCTGCGTGTCAGTCTCTCCTGCTGCTCATTTGGGAAGAGCAGTGTCTGAGTTAGAAAGAACCCCAAAATAATCCAGAGAGGTGGGCGTCAGAGTTCTGGAAGGGAAGAGGTGCTGGGTTTTCTGGGGAGACAGAGATGCGGTTCAGCAGACCAAGATCCCTCTGCCCCCCAGGCCGCTCCATCCCGGCTTCCTGGCCTCGCTGCTGCTCCCCCCTGGGGCGGGCGCGACACCTGCCGCACTGCTGTTTCAGCTCCTGGCCTCACACTTTGAGAGCAGCGCAGGAGGCTTTTAAATCATCTTCTATTCTTTTTCTCCTCTCTCCCTTCGACAGACCGTGAAGGAGGAGTCGCTCACGTTGCCAGCTGCGAACCCGTTAGTGACGCCGCAGAAGTCGGGGGGCACGCTGGATGGCAGCCTGCACAAGGAGGTCTTCGGCGCCATCTCCGGGATGGGTACGCGCGGCTCCCCCCGCTTCTCTCTGGCTCTGAGAGTGTCTTTAAGCCCACGATTGCTGTAGCAGCCGCACCTTTGAAATTAGGACTTTGAAGTCAGAATTCCTGCTGTGAACGTTCTTTTCCTTGTATTGAGACTTAAACAGGAACTCCTCAGCCTCACCTTGAAATAAGGAGCCTCAGAATCTCACGAGCTCCGAGCAGAGCGCACTTAGTCTGAATCCTGACTGTTCGCTCTTCTGACTTCAGTTAATGGGTCGCGCTAGAGCTTTCCTTTGGGTGGAGTTTGCTTTTAGGAAAGCACTGTCTTTGCAGGGTGTGCGGGGGAGGCTAGAATTTACCTGTAGCACTAGTGATGTGGATGCGACGGAAGGGAGGAATTCCTGAAGGAGGTGGCACTTGTGACTAGACTGCAGCCCTGAAATCTTCTTTCTGAGATAATAAGAGCAGCCCCCGCAGGGAGGATAGCAGATGGCCTAAATCAAGATTCAAATCGCCTGGTTTCTCCTTAAGAAGATGCCTGAGGTGTGGCCTTATTAATATTCTGGCTAGCTGAGCCCATGTGCCATTTCCATCAGGATAATGGTGCAAAATGACTGTCTCTGCAGAATCATCACAGGTGCTCACAGGCCGACTCTGTCTTCATTTATCCCTCTTTATTGACCACACCGAGGAAAGGGACTGACTCCTAGGGCAGAATTAGGGTCACTCTTTCATCGAATTTCTTAGCAGGGCTATTGTTCATTTGGTGTTTATGTCCTCACCTTCTGTGTTGTTTCGTTGTTAACGTGCTATTTCATGTAGGTGATGAAACTGGGCAGAAAATAATACCCATACCATACCATGCCCAGATGTACCCTGGGACCCCAATCCTTAATCTTAGTGTATGTCCATTTCTTGTGTGATACATAACTTCCCTTGAATACTTGAATCTGGTGCATGGTGTCCCCATTTGTTTCCTCCTGGGGTCTTGCTCTGACCATATGTCTAGTCGATGCTCCAGCTGTGGGATGGGACTGTCTTCAGAGGATTTTGTGTGCAGCGGCTCACAGCACTGGCTTTGAAGTCACAGGTGGGGCTCCAGGTCTGGCCTCTACCATCCACTCATCACGCTGCCTCTCTTCACCTTCAATGTCCACATCATCACCAAAACAGAGTTGTAGTGAAGGATGATGAGCACCAGGAGGTGCACAGTGCTTGGTGGTAAACACTCAGTTCTGTCTTGACTGCTGCACAGCAAGTTCATTTCTCAAGCATTCCACCTGCTTTGTTACTCATTCTCTTCTCCAATCAGCTACTCCCTTGTTTAGGTTTAGGTGGACACTGAGCACCCCTTCAGCCTTGGAGAGGTCTGCACTCATGGCAAAGTTAGGAAAAGTGCTTGAGAATGTTGGTCCCTTTAGTTTTTTAAATTTCAAGGCCTGAATCTGCTTTTCATAAATATTCACAAGAGACCTTTTAAATTTTTATCTCTGTTTTTTCCATCCTTAAAGGCTTAAATCTTTGTTCCCTTTCTGGAATGCCTTCCAATGAAGCCTGACCTTTCAGCTGTGTTTACTTGTTTTTTGGTTGCTGGAGCAGCTCTTCTTTTATTCACCCAGAAGTTTCCAGTAGTGTCGATCCCTGTGCTTTTCATTCAAGAGTAGACTTCTCCCTACACCTCTAGAGAAATCCTGTTTCCACACACATTAAGCATGCCCCCTCAGTGGTGGTGGTTTCATGTCTTTGAAATGTGGTGCATGACAGTTTCTAAAATTGATGTCTTGCTGAATAAAAACTACTTGAAGGTTATGTTAATTTTAAGACATACTCATCCTTAGACTTAGTGTTCTCATTCCACCTGTTCAGTATATGGAATGGGGCTGTTGGTACAAATATGGGAAGAGAATCTGGACTTATCTTCATTTCACTTCATCTTGTTTAAGATTTTAAAAAGTTATGCACTGGACTGGCATCACACACACACATACAGAGAGAACATAGTTCTACTCAGTAGGTGCATTTTGATTCATTGCATTTTCATCTTATGCCTTTGATTAGGACTTTAGCTCTGGAATTGAGCCTAAAACTGATAATTTAGGATCTAATTTTACTTTACTAAGGACCTCTCTCTCCTGCTCTGTGTTCTCAATTAAATATGAAGTTCAGTTATATTAGGAAGGCTAGATTTATAATTTGGTCATAATGTGCAATTCTTTTCTCTCTGAGAAGTAGCTCATTTTTTCATGGGGATGTCACCTGCCCTGGTGACAGTCAGTCACCCACTTTCTATTCTAGGGAACTGCAGCCTGTGGCCTGTGGTTTCTAGATTCCAGCTATAGATTCCCTTACATTTTCATATTCCCCTGGCTCTTCTTTTCTTGATCTTAATTCACCGAATCAATTTCAGGGACACTGGCAGGTAAGGCAAAGTGTGGGGAGGGGGAAGGTGCTTGGGTGCTGGGCAGGGTAGGCTGTGCTTACAGCTAGCAGCCGAGTGTCCTCATGCAGGCTTCACAGCCAGCTAGGCCCTTCAGTTGGAAGCAAAACTTTTGGTTCAGCATAGAATATACATTTCTCAGAGTCATTTTTATTGATATGATTTACTTAAACAATATCTAAGCAGAAAGTCAGTTTATTAATTTAAAAAATTCCTCTGTACTGAAGGTGAAGTTCATTTCTATCTTCAAATGCTGTTTTTTCATGTCAAAAGTTTATGTCCAAGTGAGATTTCCTTTCCTCTCATCACCATTTATTGTAGAGATTCCCAGATGTTCTCAGGTCACAGCACCTGTGTTGTCAGGGACTTTATCACAATGTCCCAAAGCCAAAAGACAGCCCTAATAGATCTGTTTACTAGCCCTTAGGTGTAGATAGTTTCATAAGTACTTATAACTTGATACCTTCATGGCCATTTGGGAAAAAATACATGTAAGTTTAAAGAAAAATATTTAATGGTGATAAACACAGCTATTACTAGTGGGATGGGAGTGCCTATCAGAATTTGAAATCGGATTGTTGCCACCATCCTCATATCCTGTTCCCACACTGAATTTTGCCTAGTTGCTTTTATCATCACAACCACCAACTACGCACCCTCACAAAGATATGACATCAACCATAAGGCATGTAGGGCCATCAACATTAAATATGCAGTTTCCACCAGATGTCAAGTTCTGTGTTTATTTGCCTTGAAATTTTAAAGCACCCTATGCACCCCCTCTGGGTTTTCTCGAGCAAGGCAGCACAATTTAAATACTGTGGGTTCATTGCATGGCTTAATGTTCCTATTTAATTTTTTAAATTTTTTATGAGATTTATTTATTTGTGTATACAAGAACTGGGGTGTATTTAATAGTTGTAGTTGGGCTTATCTTTTTAAAAAATTTTCAAGTCTTCATTCCATCCCTTTCTGAAACAGCACCTGTTCCTTAAGTCTTAGCAGTCAAAGGTGGCTGCTCATATGTGTTTGATAGATGTATCTGAATGTTTCAAAGTTTGCTTTTATCTTACTCTGTAGCAATATTGCCACTCTTGAACCCTCTTCTTAACAAATAAATAAATAAAATAAATGCAATTAGAGCAATTACCCTAAAAGTTCAGTATTTACCTTCATTGCCCTGTGTCTCACTGTGTCTTGGTCTTGTCTTAATTTCTGTTTAGCTTCTCCATATATGACGTCAACTCCCAACATCAATAGTGTGAGAAATGCTGATTCAAGAGGATCCCTTATAAGCACAGATTCGGGGAACAGCCTACCAGAAAGGAATAGTGAGAAAAGCAATTCCCTGGATAAGGTAACAGCATTTTTTCCTGTACCTTAAGTGTTTCTTAGACCTAATGACTTTAACCCCAAAAGTCAACATGTTTCATGTTCTTTTGTTCATTGTGTAATAGTTTTTAAACAACTCAGCTAACCTGGGTAGATAGGCCCAGAGTATTAACTTTGGGGGTGGGGGAGAACGTTTGTCTGAAAGGTGTGGATGTCTCAGGTACCCATTTGGAGAATTTCAGACCAGCAGTGTTGATAGTGGAGCACCTTAAGGTGATAGTGGAGCATCTTGAACAGATGGGTCTGGCAGGCCACACAGCTAGAGAAGTCTAAATACCTCTCACTTAAAATCCCCACGGTCTGCGTGCCAAAGAACGCCACTGTAGCACAGCTTCCCATGCCAGTGAGTTGCAAAGTCGGCTCCCGAGAAGATGACTCCATCCTAAAGGTGATTCACGGAGATGAGGTTTGATTTGAAATCACTACTCTTGCTACACCCCCAAAACTTGCCCAACACATGCCTCTTCCTCCTTAACCTTTTTTTCCTTGAAACAAATAAATCTCAGACTATTTGGAGCTTTGTGGGAATAGGTCAAGTTTCAATTTAAAGCAGGCTAGGCGCGTTCCCCCTCAGCCACTGTTGGCCGAGTTATTCCAGCTGCGGATACACGGCAGGCCTCAGACACGTAGAACACACCCTGCCTGGGGTCAGGTGGGTGCTCAGATCCCATGTCTCCGTGGCTGGGGGCACATGATGATTCTGTCTCTGTGTGGGTGTGTTGTGACCTTTGACCTTTCCCCTTGACCCTCCCATGCCTCCACATGTAGAGGGAGAAGCTGCTCAGGCGACACTCAGCTTGTGTCATACGCAGCACTGGAGAGGATGACAGCTGCCAGCCAGCCAGGAGGAACCGGGTCACTGTGGACTTTTCCCTGCTAGCCAGCCCTCCTGTGCCGGAGGACGCCGTGCTTGCGGCCACCTCCCCCCAACCCTGGGGGCCTCCGAGCCCCCCTCGAGGCTCTGCTGAAGTGGGTGGCCCCCACGGGACTCCCCTAGGGTGGTTTTGCCGCGGACAGCGCCCATGTGGCTCCCTTAAATAAAATCTATTTTGTTTTAGTTGCCCACCAACACCTTGAATAAAAGTTATTGTTCACTCATTTTGCTGCTTTGGGACTTGGCAAAAATTTCTCCCCATTCCAACTGGAAATATAAACTTGAGGACTGAAGCCTTCATGCTCTCGCCATGAGATGAGACTCTTGTTCTGTTTGTGTTTGACTGGAGCCCTTGGGGCCCATGAGCCTGCTGTCCGCTGGGAAACCACCTGACCCCTCCCCCCGCACTGTCTCACATTTGCCATGTTGCTAAGCCCTAAGGGAGTGACCTCTGGGCGAGGGTCTCTGCAGTGCTGTGCTGCGGTGTCCTGCTTGTTTCTGTCGGGCACCTGCCCTTGTGTCCCTGGGGGTGCCCGGGACATCAATTCAGTGCCAGCTCCCAGCTTCTGTGGCTGGCAGCAGCCACACCCCATTGTATGCTCTCAGCCTCTGAGGTTTTCTTGAGGACCCAGTGGGTTCTGCAGTGTGTTCTGAACACTTGCTCTACGTTTGACTACAGCACACGTGCTTTTTTTGCATGAGGTTTGATGTGCATCTCGGAGCTAAGCTGTAGCTGAGACGTGCATGTCCAGCTCAAAAGGCCGTGCCTTCTGGCTTGTCCCTTGGAGAATGTGCCACAGAACTGAGCAGACATCAGCCACTGGCCTGTGTGCTGCCGTCAAAGTGTGCCTTGGGTGTCCACGTTTCTTGTGCTTCCAATTTGTGTGGTTTGACTTAATTCTAAGACTTTCTCTTCCAAGGGGGAAAAGTGCAATTCGTTTTGTTTTACCTGCGATGCAAGAGGAAAATCACCTCTCTCTCCTTTTTTAGCACCAACAAAGTGGCAGTTTGGGAAATTCTGTGGTTCGCTGTGACAAACTTGATCAGTCTGAGATCAAGAGCCTGCTGATGTGTTTCCTCTACATCTTAAAAAGCATGTCTGATGGTGGGTAAAAATGAAGATTTCTGTTTTACTTTCCTTGTGGCACTATTGGGCTTGTGCTTTAAGAACGAATTGAAAGGATAAAGAGATGTAAAAGGGTTTGCTTCTGTGTTTGAGATAAATGGTAATTCAATCTCCTCAATTAAGGAGAAGTAAAAGCTTTAATTTGGAAAAATGTTTTTATTAATTATTGTATTCTAGAAAATGAGTGGTAAAATGTTGATGGGTGTATTTTTAAGATGTATTTTAAACCCAGAACTACTATTTTAACTAAAGGAGACAGAAGCAGATAAATGATGTAGTATTTGATTTTTTAAAAAAATTTAATTGTATGTATGTATTGGCAAGTTACCTAACCTTACTAGTCAATCTCTTCCATAGATAATACAGTGTCGAGGGCGTAAGCAGCCCTCCCATTAGAGAGAGTAACATCCTGGCTTTAACTGGAAGCAAGTTATTTATGTTTTGTAAAGGAAACAATGGTATCGCAGTAGATGAAGCTTTTGGAAGGGCTTACCAGCCACATTTTTTAAGAGAAATGACCACAGTCATGAGGGCTGTGACTGTGGCACATAAAGCTCATTTCTCATTCTGGTTGTGCGACATCACAACAATGACATAGTACATTCTTATTTTGGTCCAAAATATCGTCTTAGTTTCCTTGCAACAAGTTAGGAAGTGTACTTAATCTTCATTAAGCTCACTAAATGAAGATGAACTCTTAGAAAAAAATGCTGGTTTAGAGACCATGAAACCTGCTGCCCTGGGTCTGGTGGTAGGAGGGTTGGACATTAAGTTCCCATGGGGTGCCGCTTTGCCTGCAGCTGAGTATCTCTGGATTCCAGCTCCTGTTTCAGCAGCATCAGCAGCCTGACTGTACAACCTCAGATGTTAGGAACAGCATTCCTGTCCTTAAAATGCTTACCTGCTGGGTTATCGTATTCTTCTCTCAATTTGTTACTTTACCATAGTTATTTTATAATAAAATAAACAATCATGATCATTTTAGAATCATGACCAAACTCAGATTTGATTCAAATGATGATAAAAGCATTGGGCACTTATTCTGACATTTGGTTAGAGAGCCAGCGTTCTTCCCATTAAGTCAAAAGTTCTTAACATCATCTTGGGAGTAAATTTTTAGCTGATTTTTCCTTTGTTGAAAGTTTTCTTTAAAAGATTTGAAGTTTCACAACCCAAATGCCCAAAAATAGATGACTAGATCAGGAAAATGTGGTATATATACACAATGGAATATTATTCAGCAGTCAAAAAAGATAAACTCATGCCATTCGCAGCAGTGTGGATGGAGCTAGAAGGAATGATGCTCAGTGAAATAAGCCAGAAGGAAAAACAAAAATATTGTATGGTTTCACTTATAGCAGAAATTTAGGGGAATCAAATAAGACATCAGTGTAAAAAAAAATAACAGTACAAAACACAACAAAGCAAAACCAGACAATTATTAATCAGAGACATCCTGCAGGGGAGAAGGAGGGAGAGGGATCAGAGGGAGGGAGGAGCACAGGGGACTGAGGTGATGGTGCACCAGTGCATTAGTGAAGGAAACTATGGGGACTACACTTGAGGGGGTGGGGGGAAACAAATATTGTTTAAAAATGCAAAATGATGTAAAAAATAAAAAAATTTTAATTAAAGAATTCGAAGTTTCAAATATTAAATATAATAGATAACTGGAATGTAGTTACTTTCTAAAGGCAAATATTTGAGAAATTTTGCATCCAAGTAAAAGTTATCCTTTAAAGTCAGCCCTTTGGAAGGCCATGCACTGTAGTTAAAAATGGAACAAACTCTTCAAAAACAGTTACCCTCTTGCACATCCTAGGCCCCCAAACTCAGTGACTTTTTCCCTAAGAGAAATCTCTTCACCTATTTTTCAACCTCAACATAAAATATAAGCATACAAAAATACATACTACATCAGTCACTCTTTTTGAACTGCTCAAATGGTTAAGTCAGCATGAAGACTGCTTTCTGTGAGCCAGTTTGCCTTTAAAAAATGCCCAGATGAAGAGCAGAAGCGAGTTCTTAATCAGGGGTCCTCCCTTCCTTGGAGAAGAGGAACCTCATATCTGCTTGTTTGGAGGGCTGTCAATATCTGCCCAAAATATAAATATTATCTATTAAAATTAAAAATTTTAATTAAATTTACCATCTGATGTGGCTAGTTCATTCCTAAGAATTTGTCCTATAGACAACATGGGACAAGTTTCCAAAGATCCACATATAAAGATGTTCATCAAAGCATAATTTACAGCAGCAAAAAATAAGAGGAGAAGCAGTAAATGTTTATCAGTGGGAGACTGATTAGCCAGTTATAGTACATTCATGGAGAGGAATATTATGCAGCTTGGAAAAATGAGATCAATCCCAGTTATAATGGTGAATTAAAACTGAAAAGGCAATCCAGTGTATTTTGGTATACATTTGTGTATGCTTCCATTTAAGTGTGAGTAAGTGAGTGAGTGAGTGTGTGTGTGTGTGTCTCAGGGAGGGGATACTTATGTACATGCAGCAGTTTCTGAAAGATTCCCCACTGGGTGGGTAAAGAGAAAGCCTAACATTACATTATATGCCCACTTACTTGTATTCTTTGAATTTTCTAGCCTATATAAGAGCATGTTATGTATCAGTTACATATGTACTATATACAGCACTAGGTGCTATATGATGGAATTAAAGTTCCAGTGTCAGAAGATTGTATCCTTAAATGGAACAAGCCAGTTATGTGCAATAGTCATATTGGTGGGTCACTGTCCTCTGATCAGCTGTACAGGGGGCTTGGAGGGCTCAGAAGTCTACGCTTAGAGGCCTCTTTCTAATGTACGTAATACATCTCATGATTCTGACGGAAGAACTGCTTATTTTCTAGATGCTTTGTTTACATATTGGAACAAGGCTTCAACATCCGAACTTATGGATTTTTTTACAATATCTGAGTGAGTAGTTTTGTCTCTACTCCTTGCCTCTTGATTTTCTTGAGAGAGGTGGGAAGAACATGTGGAGCCAGGAATGCAGCATCTGCATCTCCACACTTTTCCTTGAACCCTTTCCGTGGGAACTAACCCTACCACCCGCCCTCAGGAGTTCAGGACCCAGGCAGCTCTGACCTGCCTTAAATTATTCCTGAACCATGTGGTTGATACAAATGAGAGGCAACTGCTTGTGTTTGTCAATCATTGTAATACGTGAATACAAAGTGATTTAGCTGAATGGGGTGGGTGCTGCATTTCTAGGTTAAATCTATGCAGACACAGAGAAATTGCTATAATTTAAAAATATCTGACAAGTAAAAATGAAATCTTATATATTATCTATAGTGTCTCATTTTAGCTCTTCAGTCCAAGTTTCTGATTTCCTTAAAACTTTTCACTTTTAGAAACTAGACTCCACAATCCCTTATTCAAACTGCTGCAGCCAAATGATTTCCCAAATTTAGAATCTGTTTGATTTTTGAAAAATTTACATATAGAGTATATTCTATAGCACCTCACCAGTGTCTCAGGCAGCCCCAACAACTCAACACATTAGTGTTTCTGCAGCAAAAAAAAATATTTTTTTTAGCTGAGCTGTGACGGTTCATAGTAATGCAGTGAATCGTGACTCTGAGTAGCTTTATGGGGTGGGATTTGCTGGCAAACATGCTTGTGTGAACTCAGGTAGAACCTGAGGTGTCTGGGGCTTTGTGCCCTGTGGGATTCTGGCGTTAGCTCCGAAACGTAATAGAGATTACTTTAACTGCCTCTTAGTGAACATATAGTGACTTTCAAAATCAGTATTGTGGGCATATTAACCAAAACCAAAAAGTGCATGTTTGGTGTCTACAAGGAATCAGCCCATTTTCTGGAGCCAGAGAGTGAGCTGGGCCAGGATGATAAGCAACTCTGGGCAGCTCATAGGGTCCCCTGGGGGCTTCTAAGCAAACTGCCTGCAGGTCACGGAGGCTGTGGAGTCAATGGAAAGTGCTGTAGGGCCTGGGCCTTTCTTTTGGGGTAGCTCTGACTGCCCCCCACAGTAGGGGGTCTCCCTTGCAGCTCATAATCCTCTCTAGGTTTAAAGGGATGTGCAGAGAAATTTTGAAAACCTGAAGTAAGGAGCTAGTGGTTGATGGGAAGTTTCCTACATGTGCTCTTATCAATGTATTGAAAATGATTTTTCCCCGCCCCCAGAGTCTGTCTGCACCAGTTCCAGTACATGGGGAAGCGGTACATCGCCAGGTACTGTGGGGGTTTCATTTGAAGTGTGGGCTCCCTCTCTGTGTCACCCCCAGTTTCCCTTCGGTCCGAATGTGTGCACATTGGCGTCCGCGGTGGCTGGCAGCTGGGACTCCCGCATGCAGCCACGGGGGCAGCCAGCAGGTCTTTGGATCGCTGCCGTGACGCCCCGTAGCATCTTCTGCCTGCGTCCCTGCTGCCTTCTGTCTTGTTGTCTTGTGTCTCTTGGAAAGATGTTCGTCGCTGGCCTGTCACTGGCCTGTCGCTGTCCTCCACCGGCAGACACATCCTCGACTCGCTCCCTTCTGCCCCCTCTGTCTCTCCTCCCACTTCCTCTCCCTGCGTCTTGCTGGCCTTCCATCATCTCTCTGCGTCCGTTTCGCTGTCAACGCCCATTTTTCACTGTTCTGCCTCCTACCTGCAAAGCTGTTCATGTCTCACCAGGCCCCTCTCCCCCTTTCCTGAAGGGGAGCCTGTTCTCAGTCCCTCTCGGGTGTGTCTGCACCTGCACAAAACCTTCTCTGAACTTGATTGAGCCTTTTCTCTTATTACTCTGAATCAACCCTCCACGCCCTGTTTTTCTGTGAGCAGAACGCTTGGTTGAGTGTGGTAAAGCCTCCCTGCCCTGTTCAGACCCCACTGTCATTCCCCCCGAGTTCCCGGGAGCTGGCAGCACGGCTGGTGTCCCCCAACAGCCCCTTCACAGTTGGTCATTTCTGGTTCTCACTCCTGCCCCCGAGCCATTCTGTGTGTCCATGTTTGTTTGTTTTTTCTGTGTTTTGTGTTCTGTGATGATGCTTTTATGGGGGCTTCTCATCCTGTTCCCTGATCATCGCTATTTTGAAGAGTTTGAGCGAACATATTTATGTTTGAAGAACAACTTTCAAATGTAGTTATAACTGAGATCATTTTCAGCTTATCTATGTATAATTTTGTGTTACAGCAATGAAATAAGAGATTTTTTATCTACTTGAATATGAAGATTTTGCTTGTTATGTTAACATTGCTCTTTATTTGGGGTATTTGAGACATTTTCAGAATTATGCTTTGTGTTAAATAAAAGTATGTGTTTTCTTAAAAAGTAAATTTAGAAAGGATATATCATGCTTCCCTCCTATTAATATTTTCTATTTTTAATTAAAATGTGGTGGCACTTTAAAGTTCTCTAATATTAACTCTTTTCTTTTTTATTATAACAGTAAAATTTTTACCTTTGAGTTTTTGAGAGCCAAATGCAAATATATACAGGGTGTCTTTGCACCATGGCCCTCCCCGCTTGGCCTCTTCCCTTGGACCTTGCCATGAAGATGGGCTGGCGCCGGGTGCTTGCAGCAGGGAGGCCGTGTGCTGCAGCCTCACGCCCCTGCCGGCAGCTGTCCCCCGCATCACCAGCGGGCATTTGGAAGGCCTGTGCCAAACAGAATAAAACACCTCTCAGCAGCGCACGGGAAAAGTGAGGTTTCTGCCCTGACAAAACCTTTAGAATTGGGTTTGGGCAAGCTGCTAACTTACTTTTTCGCTGGCTATCAAGTTGGTTTTTTTTTAAAGCAAGCCTCGGACTTTGTGAGCACCCTGTATATATCTGCAGAGGGATGTCTGCTTCCTGGAATGGTCTTAAAGCTCAGTGGGCTAGGAAGGTGGGCATGGTTAACGTGCTTGGTTGTGTGCACTGTGGGGAGAGGTGCCCTGCTTTTCAGAATATGGCCACGGTCTGCTGCATGCGATAAAGGCCCCGAGGGCTGGTGTATGTTGTCGGTGTTTGCCATCATGGTGGTCGGGTCTGTGACACTGAGCCTCCTCACTGGTGCACTTTGAAGTCACCCAGAGCATGTTGCCCGATGGTGTCCCGTGCATGCCCCTGTACTCCACACATAACACAGAGAGGAGCCTGGCTCTGGCCCGGCAGTGTCCCTCCAGCTGGGCTCACTCTCCCCTGCCCTGCTGATGGTACACAGTAGGAAGTCAGTGCTGGATTGCTAACCCACATCACTTCTCTGTTTTCTTTACTTGACTGCTGACAAGCTTAACAAAGTGTGTGGCTCTTCTTCCTGCCTGGGTAAGAATAAGATGTTAAAACTGCCTCATCTAACCCTCCTTTGCTTGATTGCTGTTTCTCCCAGTGCATTAATCTTTATATATATATTATATATATATATATAATATAATATATATATATGGCTCCTTAACAAAGTATACAATCTGAACAGATTCATGGTCTTCTGGCAGTTGCCCTAATATTAACCTTTGGCACCACATTGGGCGGATGCTCCACTTTCCAAAGGCAGCCTCTCTCAAGTCCTTCCTAAAACCGCCAGGGTCTCTGCATGGGCTTGGTGTCCGCTTCTTGCACCCCTTGCTTGGCTGTGAGCCCTCTCGGAGCTACCTGCGCCCGAGCGTCCGGCTCTCGTTGGGCCCTGACAGGCTGGGCTGCGCTGGGTCCCGTCTCCTCCATGCTATGTCCTGGCCGCACTAATGCTCCCGGTCTCGCTGCCGTGTAACAAGTCTAACTTTGGCTTCTATCCATGTCACTCATGTTGCAGGAACCAGGAGGGGTTGGGACCCATAGTTCATGATCGAAAGTCTCAGACATTGCCTGTTTCCCGTAACAGAGCAGGAACGATGCATGCCAGATTGCAGCAGCTGGGCAGCCTGGATAACTCTCTCACTTTTAACCACAGTAAGTCCATCACATCCATGGTCACAGCCAGCCACCCCAGGCGACAGCTCAGAGGGCAGAGCCCCAGGCCACAACACACCACATCACCAACTTGACTTCTCTTCCAGCTCAGAGCCAGTGGGATGAAGAGCTCGCGCCGGGTTCCCTTCCTTGGAGGAGAGGACAGAATGTGGAATGCTGATCAGCTTCAGCCCAGACCTAAGTGCTTGCTGGTGGCCCAGCCCCTCTGCTGGGCATTTTTAAAACAAACTGTGGCAGGTTTGATAACCAAACCTGCTCTGATATTTGTGTTTAATATTATGTCACCCACATATCATGGGTGTTCCCGCCTCCCCGGCCCCTCCTAGGAACACTGGGCCGACCCCTCCCCCCCAGCCGTGCATGTAGCTGATCAAGCGTCCACCTTCTGACACTCCACCTTCTGACACGGATTAATGTACATTAATCCGTAAACTGTTGTGAAAGCATCAAGCCGGTGAATCGATGTGTGAAGGTGTGGAAAAGCCAATAACAAAGTGACTTTTTCTGTGTTTTCAGTGTGAGAAAGATATCAAGTGTGCTTGGAATTTCTGTAGACAATGGTAAGATTTAATCAGGTTGAAATCTGCTTACGAGGCTGCTTCCCTTGCGATCCAAGACCTTTTTGTTCATCTTGCCTTCCTAACTTTGGGGTTTTCTGACTTCACCATCGAGATTCTGCCAAAACACGGGGGCATATTTTTCCAGCTCCTTTTTTATTTTTCAATCACCAGAGAGACATAGCATCAGGTGCTGTTTCTAGAAATGTAAATGTTTCATAGGCTGAAGGGCTTCTCAGAGCAGAAAATCTAAATACCATCCTACCTACAGCACTTTGAAAACTAACGTGATCATTTACAATAAGGACCAGCCTGTGGTCTGCCAGCTGCTCTATCCCTCCTCCCCAAGCATGACCGAGCTGGTGATCATTATTTTACCTACACAAGTATTTGTTCTCATCCCAAGTCCTAAATACATGGCCATTAATATCTCCTCATCTTTCTAATCATAAGAATTCCATTTATTGTGTTTTTCATCCCTCCTTCTTAGTACAGGCTAAGAATTGTGACAATATCCCCAACATCTTGAATTGATAATAGTTCAATGGAAAAAGATTGATAAATCAACATACATCAGCATCTCACGCCAACAAAGCTGGGTGTAGCGGGTATAGTCTCTCTTTATACAAGTCTAGGCTTTAAGTCAGTATTTCTCACTGTGCCACACTCTGACCCCAGTGCCAGTCCCAGGTACTCTACTTAGCTCTGCTGTACCTCAGAGACATGTCTAAGGCTACAAACTTGCTTTTTCAACATCTTGCCTGTTAGAGTTTTTCCAGCTCTCTAAACACAGGGGTTGAAACAAGTAAGACAGTTTTGTTATGGTTAGCTTTCCCAGCCAGTGTATTTCACACACAGAAATTCACCACCCCCATGTTCTCCAGGACCTGCCACACGGCCTTTGTCCTGTTCATTTATAACACAGGAGTATCTCGCCTTCAGATAAAATAAATGCTTAAACATTAAAGCTCTTAAAAAATCCTGAGCAGACCAGTGCCCTGTCTCCACAGATAATCATTTAAGAAAAACAGAAAACAAGCAAAAATAAAATAAATGATCAACATAAGAATAAATAACATTAATCCCTTAAGATAAGCAGCAGCCCCTTCCACCACAAATGGGTTTTGTGGAGACGGCTTCGACTGAAGCAGAGAGACAGCTGGCTCCGTTCTGTGGCCAAAACCATATTGAGAGCAAGTTCGGTTTCCCTGTCTCTCTTCCTGCTGCCCCCAAAGAGCCCCATCTTCCTGTCTCGCTCCTCTTTCATCCTGTAGTCTCTGCTTTAGTCAGTTTCTAGTAAAACTCCCCGAGAGCGGTGCCTCTCCGATTCCGTTGGTCTCTTGGTCCTTACCATCCCTGCTCATCTGAGTTGGTCCTACACCTCCTGGTCCTCTCATGTCCCCGGAAGCTCAGTCTTCCCCAATGACATCTCTGACTACGCATTTGGGTGCTTCAGCCTTTCCCTCTGCTAGTTTGCTGAGCCCCAGTTGTCACCTCGGCTTGAAGCCATAAGAAGGAGGTGCACACCATGTAGGCATGGGTGTGTGGCACGTGTGTGACATGCACATACTTGATTCCTGGGTATCTCATGGGCTAGACTATGTATCATTCTAAAACCTCCTATTTGATAATAAATACAGCACCTTCTGTTGGGCCAACCAATATGACATAAATCCCTTATGTGAGGGACTTGCTGGGATGCCAGAATCTAAAATGCATTCATTTTAAAAAAGAATAAAAATAGAAAGCCCCCTACACATCTGCATTTTTTAGCACCTCGTTTTCTGTCAAGTAGGAAAGACTCTGTGAGCCCTCATCTTGACCAGCAGGGGGCTGCAGAGGACCATAAGAAACAGCCCAATGGTGGCCAAGCTGCCTCGTTACCCATCAGTAGGACTAGCACAAGACATGTTTGATGGGAAGTTAAATTTTGATAGAAAGTGCCATGGAGACAAATTTCACTGTGGCCAAATAGTCTCTAGGGATAGAGGTGCATTGTTTGGGTTACTGCCCAGGTACATGAAGAGTAAATGTTTGCACTGTCAAGATATTGACCTACTGTAATGTGCACCCTTTGTGTATTGACAGAGGAGCTCTGCATGAAATGACAAATTGAGAGTGAGAGCTACATAGAGAATATTTTATATAAACTATATTAGGAGGTGAAACCTGTTTGCAAATAAGTGAAACATTTGCAAAAAAATAAATAACACTTGGTATTTATTTTGATGTTCTAGGTGTATAGTAATTCTATTTGTATGATCATTCATATTTTCTACTGGAGTGATGGGGGAAGCCAGTCAAGAGGTAGAAAAGCTTGTAAAAAAAACAACTGTATTTCACATAATACAATAGAAGACAATTTAAGATCATGGGATTAAGCTGTAGAGAATCAGATTTCAGGACAACCTAGGAAAATATTTCTAACTGAACTGCCTCTTAGCCAGTGTAGGTACTTGTAGCTACAGGTGAGGAAGATCCACTGGGGCTATTGTCTAAATCTCTTAAACATCACATGAAGTATTGACATTCTGCTAGCAAAACCCATCTTAACTGAAAATTCTGTCTAAGAAGCATGAGTTAAAAAAGTGAATATAGGTAATAAATACATTCATATACTGTGTATAATAATTAAATTCATATGAAAAATGCAGAGACTGCTTATGTTCTCTGAATTACAACTCATATTCTCCAGAAGTTTCCAGCATGGGCAATATATCTTTTAAAAGAGGTGAAATGGAGTTTACATGCCTATATTCAAGATGGTCATGAAATGTCTGTTTATAAAGCCCTTGATTTGGAGATAATCCTCTTTGTACATTTGCTAGCATTTCTGAACTCAGTATATGTTAGTTATATCAGATCTAGCTTACAGGCATCTCTTCCATACTTCATCTACTATGTCATCACATTGATTACATATTGCGACCGATTAATCTGGCAACTGATAGGGTCTCAGAATTGAGATACTCTAACACCATGCCTATTTAAGGTCATTTAAAAAATATTTTTAATATCCTTAAAGAGGACTTCAAGTTAAAAATGTATGGCATGTCTTCATTGCTTGGAGTCTTTAACCCATTCTAAGTGCCACCTTCACACACAGCTAAATAGCGTGTTGAGATACATCTCTGCTACAGAGATGAGAAAGAAGACAATGTGATCCTTTCCATAAACACAGATATAGGCGAGTCTCACAAATCACTGTGAACTTGGCTGTTTTCCTTGGTGTGTATCCGAGAGCATACAGGAGATCACATAATTTTAGTCCCAGATTATTCCTTATTCTGTCCTTGACACTTGCCTGTCCTTGAGGAAAATCTTTCTGGCAGTAATAATGGGAGGAGATGGGTTGGGGAAGAGGTTGATCAGCCCGTATTCTGCATGATGATAGGCAGATAGTAAAAACTAAGCCCATGAATTAATATACCTAGGAGACTAGTCTTCACCATCAGATTTTGTCATTTAGGATTTCTGTTTTTCTCATACAAGATATTAATTCTCTGAGTTCATATTGTGGGCCAGAGAACAAAATTAAAAATACAAGCAGGAATTCTGGTTTCAAAAAGCTATAGAAATGGGTTCTCCTTGAAAATATGCACCTGACTTCTTCTAGCCCGAGTGATGTCCTCTAACATTCAGGAAAGCTGAGAGGGTATGGTGCCCCTCCCACCACCTCACCTGTGATGCTGTGCAGTGTGCAGGGAGGGAGATCCTGTTATTAAATCAAGTTATTCGGGTAACAAGAATTATTAAAACAGAGTAAGGTTCATTAAGTCTAAAAATAGCAGATGACACTAGAAGGGGAAAAATACCTCATCCTTGACCTCCGGATTTAGAATAAGTCACTTATCAGAGTGACAATGGGATGAAAATCATCTAAATGTAAGCAGGGAATTCTAAGGACACCAGAGCAACACAGGAGGCAGTTGTTGGAGGTGGCATCTCCCTGCCCTCAGTGGCCTGGGCAAGACAAGCAGCACCCTGGGCCGAAGGCACCACTGCCTCTCAGTGGACACGAGTAGTTAGCAAAGCACTTCCTACTCCCCTGGGTCAGAATCGCCTTTATCAACTTTAGAAAGTTGCTGACTGATAATTGAAGAAATCGCTCTGTCTCTTAAGACCCTTCTTGGATTTGCCAGCTCAGTTCCATTCTCCTGTGGTGGCCTATAACCTGGTGAACCGTTGACTAAAATCTTCCCTCATGCGTAGTTTTGTTCGAGGCTTTTGACACTAATGGTCTCCATGGAGACAGCCCTGGCGAATGGTCCAGCTGTCTCTCAGGCATTCTCTCCATGCTGCTGCTGCTGCTGATTTTTAATTTTAGTATATTAATTTTACCAGCTAAGGAATCCTGCTGGCTTTTGGAGACGAATGGTTTAAAGAAAAGCAAATTACTACCATTTGTAGCTAAAAGAGCCATTTCTTTTATTCTCAGATAATTCAGACAGATGTAGACAGATTTCTCTGTGAATCTGTTATTTTAAAGGAGATTAGATAGACAGTGTATTGTCTTATTGGGGGTGTAATTGCTGGAGCAAATTTTTTGTCATTAATTAGCATATTGATTATATATGATTTCAAAACAACACATTGCCAATTTTTTAATTGGCCCAGACTTCTAGCCCATAGTTCTATGAGAATTCCTCACTGTGTAGCCATCCCGTCTATACGATCACCTGGATACACTTGGCCAGTAAGTCATCTAGAAAAAGAAAAGGACAATTCTGTGCAGAGAAGGAAATTTTAAAAATCACGAAGGCAGGTTCCCTGTTACAGTTTAACCCAGAGTGTAAAACTTCCTATGGGGTAAAGGGCAGCTCTCAATAACAGGTCCTGTGACCTCTGATACTGTTGGTTGGTCTAATAAAAGGTGTTGTGGGGTATTTTGCCCCCTTTCTGATGGCTCGGGCCTCTTTAACTGTGACCATCAATCTGTTATCCTCTTTCGTTGCCTCTGTATCTTGCCAAACAAACCTGGCCAGCAAACCCAATTCTTGGCTTCCAAAGGAAGTGCAATGAATATAAGTACCAAAAATTACCTGTCTTACTGTCTTCTGGGAGATTTCTTACCCAAAAAGGCAGAATTAACTAGAACCTGCAGGCACATTAACTCTATGAATGTCAGTGTGAAAATAGTCCACAGACTGAACTTCAGAACCAGCTTTTTTAAAGCAAAGCAAGGCTGGGTTAAAACACTTCCTAGTTTTTAATCGTATTTTCAAAAGCAACCAAGTCACTCTTTGAAAGGCCTTTTGTAGACTTAAAATCCTTTTGTCATGCCGGCATTTATTAAAGTCAGAATATCATCTCACTAGTCTCTGTGTTATCCTAATAAAAGCTGATACAGGAGTGTAGATTCTGGTTTCTCTCCATGACTGGTCTCAAGAAAATTCTCTAGGTTTTCTGTACTTCAGTTTTCTAATCTAAATGCAAAATGTCCTCCTGTCTGGAGTATTAAGAAAATTACCTACAAAGTAAGTGTTGATTTGTTTCTGCTCCTTGGAGAAAGACTTTACATGATGTTTTATTATATTGTCATCTTTCTTCGTCATCTAGATGGATACTGTAACATCTTTGCATCCCTGTATATATTCTGCTAATGCATACCATTTCATAATTTAATATCTCAAATTGTATGTCCCACTGCCTCTGTATCAGTACTAAATTGAATTTACAGCCACATACAGAAATATCAGTTTGTATTTAAGTTTATGGTTCTTCAAGTTCTTTCCTTTTCTTCAACATTTCTTTCCAACACATTAGCTTTTATGCTTTTTGTAAAGCAAGTAGAATGCCATTAGCAATACAGTCAACTCTTGATTATTATTCATGGTTTGAGTTAATAATACAGGTCTTTACTGACTTAAGAGCATTCACCATGTGCCACACCCTGTGCTAAGAGCTTCACAAATATTAATGAATTTAATGCTCACCACAACCCTTTGAGGTAGACACTGTTATTAGCCCCATTCTGCAGATGAGGAAACTGAGGTCTGGAGAGGTCCAGTAACTTGCCCAAGGTCACACAGCTGGTAAAGTGGGTTCAGGGACCAGACTCAGGGCCCCCGTGTCCCTGTGGGGAGCTGTGCACAGCTCCTCCTCCCCCATCTCTGCCTCCCACCAGCTCAGTCCGGTGACCCGGTAGGTTGACTCTCATCTGGGTGTTCGGCCTGACTCCACCCTTCTCTCACCATGAGACGGAAGACAAGTAATTCATCCTGTGTGCACCTGCATTCCCTTATCTGCAAAAAGGGTTTAATTGCACGTGTGCTTCATAGGGCTGTGGCAGGACTAAATGAGCTAATTCGTATCAAATTCATAGAATGTGGATGGCACAGAGCCAGCAATCAATAAACATTTACTGCTGTGCTTCTCTCCTGGAGGTGAGAGTGATAATTGAATGGAAACGTAAGCCATTACTCACCCCCCACCCCCAAAGGCAATCAGAAAATCAAAGCCCCCAAGGAAGCCTTCTGTAAATAATCAAGAGTTGACTGTGATCCCCTGGTTCAGCAGCCCCGGTGTCTGCAGCCACCTGGCACTGACCTTGTGTTGTGTTTCACGCAGGCTACGGTCACTCGGACGCGGACGTTCTCCACCAGTCCTTGCTGGAGGCCAACATCGCCACGGAGGTCTGCCTCACAGCCCTGGACACGCTCTCCCTCTTCACGCTGGCCTTCAAGGTGCGTGGTCTAGAGGCCTTGGTCTTTTTCACTCATCCTGCTCATTTTGCTGGAGCAGCCAGAACTTCTTTTGTTGTATTTTTACTTCTGTAACTATTCTCACCCCTGGAAGGAAACCGTTAATCCTAAAGTTCCCCTAGAGAAGCCTTGTCCCACAGTTAGCAACCTGAGTTATTTTGAATTCCTCACCTGCTTGCAGATGGAGGAAAGGGTGTCTGGAGGGGTCAGCTCTTGCCTGGAAGAAAGTGTGGATTTGGGGAACGCATCTTCGCTGTGCCTGAGGGTGATAACTAGGGGACCTGGTCAGCCAGCTCTGCCTCTTCCTCTGGAAACATAACCCAAGCAGTGGCAAGCGCAGTGAAATATTTATGCATAGGAGCAATGAGCATGGACACAGTCGCCTTGAAAAAATTTCTTTTGATCTGTTTCTAAGTTAAATGATAAAAGCATTTCGGGGTAGAAAATAAAAGGTTGCTTGGTCTTAATTTTAGGTTCTAGCAAGTAATACTCGAGTTGGTGGGGACGGTCCCTTCGGCAGCTCTTGTTTTTAGGGACCTGACACTTGCTGCCCTTGCAAAGTGATTCTGCCTGTCTCCTGCATAGAAGGGGGAAATTTAATTAGTCTTAAGGTGTGTGGACTAGTGAAAAAGTGGGTTCATTTGCAAGGGTATTGGGAAGGACAGCCATTCTCTGCATGATTTCACTCCACTTCTCATGAAGAACATTTCTTTATTAGACACAGTAAAAATAGTAACCCTGCTATCTTGTTGCTGTCCTTAGCTGCCACATCACCCACTGCCCCCTGTGAAATGTCATTAGTAGGAGTCCAGCTGAGAGCTGTCCAGCTGAGGAAATACAGACCTAGTAGAAAGCGTTCCAGGCGGCAGGGTCACGTTCCCCGAAGCCTGTATTCTTAGGTCTCAGAGTCTGGTCTCCAGCTACCGCCCCTGCACACTGCTAGAAATGCAGGTCTTGGGCCTGTGCACTGACCCAATCCAGGACTGGAGGTAAGGCACCACTGTCCAGAGCCTCTGCGCCCCAGCACATCCTTCTGTGGTCATGGAATATGTGTAGTCAGCAGTTTGGGGCGGCTCGGCAGGGATGCTCTGCACGTGCTGATTTGCCACTTCATCCTCGCTGGGCATCGTGACTTCCATCCGCCTGGACCACAGGTGAAAGAGCAGGAACCCCTGGAGCTGCTGGGAACACAGGGACTGGCACGCTGGGCAGGGGCAGGGCGCACGCAGCACAGTGGAGACCTGCCGCTCTCAGAGAAAGTGACAGTTTCCTGACTCGCTTCCCGCGGGTTCTCGCTCAGCCCCTTAGCTTGCCCACACCGTGTTTAAGGAAAGGACACATAGAGGTTCTCGGATAGCCTGTGTCTGGCCCCAGGTAGGTTCTGAGTCTCGACGGGGACCAGCGCCCCAGGGCCTCTGCCTGAAAGGTTGGCAGCATTGGCTTCATGTCTCTAGACCTGAGGGTTCTCGGGGCCTACCGTGGAGAAATAGGACCTGCCTCACTGGGCTGTGTGAGCTTAAAGTGAGATCACTCTGGATGGAGTGAGCACTCAGCTAGCATGGTCTAGGCATCGGCACCCTGGGAGGACCAGCTGGGAGAGGCGCCCTGGGCTTGGCGGCCAGGTGACCTTAACTGTGGGGCTAGTCCAAGAAGCATCTGTAGGTGATTTTGTTGTGCAGAAATCCTGGAGTGCCATCACACAAACCTAGAGGGTATAGCTGCTAGGTGGTATGGGGTCACATCTGGGGACCACTGTCATCCACGTGGCCTGTCCCTTTGACCCAGACATCACTCAGCAACAGGATGTGGGCCCCAGCTCCACCATCAGCCATTTCGAGCCTCAGTGTGTCAACTTGACTTCTCCCAGCCCTGCCTTCTCCCAGCCCTGCCTTCCCTGAGCAGGGCTGCCTACTGTGTGTGGGCTGATGGGAAGTACCCAGGACCATTGCCTGTGTGGGCGCAGGGCAGGACATGTGGCCCCTTCCTGACCCGGGACACAGGCACTGATCCCTGAGTCCCAGGGAAGACAGGGCTTTAGAGCCAAGGTCCCCTCTATCCAAATCCACATTCCTGTGTGCAAAAATGTTTGCTGTTTAAAGTACACCCCCCATAAAAAGTGGGGTGATAGACCAATGGCGTGACATGGCATGAATAATGCCCACCAAGTTGTAGGCTGTCCTGGCTGGACTCGAGGCTCTGGTGGCCCACCCACATCTTCCTTTGCAAATATTCACATCAATTGGAAAATCAGCTTCTACATATGTTTTCCCCCCATTGCCGAGTCTCTTAATTGACCACACCTAGTGCCTTGTCAAGGCAATCAAGAAATCACACTCTTACTGAGAAACAATGTTTGAGAAGATCTAAGCTCTGCGTTCTGGGGGTGGTGGATGTTATGTTAGCCATTTCTGGAGTGCCTTGTGCTCCTGCATCCAGCCACCAGCACCTTGTTTGTGGACCATTGTAACGGCAGAATAGCCAGAGCAGGTTTTCTATGATTCGAGCAGACGGGGTTGTAAAGGTCAGGAATGGACACGGTGCAGGTTTTCTAATCCCATGCAGACCGGGTAAAGGAGGAGTCAGAGTCTTCAGTGGCTTTTTCAGGTTTTTATTGGGATTACCAGGCATATGGCAGGCAGGGGTGCTGGGGGGCTGGGAGGCTGGCAGGCCGCCCAGCCCCCAGCAAATCCACACTCTCTCTGGGCTCTCTGCTTCTGCTTCTTTGCTTCTCTCTCGTCTTCTCTTCAGCTTCATGGCTTCTTGGCTTCTACTGCTGCTGGTGGCGTCCCCGTGACGCCGCCCTTAAAAGCACAGTCTTAGCTGAGCTGAATCCCATCTACCTATGCCCACACCCTACTCCAGGTGCCCGCCATCAGGCATGCATTCAGGACAAGGATCCATCATCTATCCTGATGGCGGGAGGGCAGAAAAGCCTGACATTTTCTTTACCCTACAGGGGTAAAGGAGGAGAGAGTCCTGGAGCTCTCAGCAGCTTTTCAGGCTTTTATTGGGATTTACCAGGAACACGGCAGGCAGGGGTGCTGGGGGGCCAGGAGGCTGGCAGGCCTCCCAGCCCCCAGCAAGTCTTCACTTCTTTTGGGCGTTCTCTGATGACCTTGGTCTCTGCTTCTATCATGGTTCTTTATGCTTCTCTTGGTTCTGCTTCTTCGTGGCATCCCCATAATGCCGCCCTTATAAGCCCAGTCTTAGCCCCCCAGGTGTACACACTTGCGCATGCCCACACCCTACTCCAGGTGCCGCCATCAGGCATGCATTCAGGACCACAAGGATCCATCATCAATCCTAATGGCAGGAGGGCAGAAAAGCCTGATATCATTTTCACTTACCCTACAACCATCTTCTCCCCCATTTGCAGAGCAGACTGAGGCTGTAGCGTTAAGAAAATTGCTAAGGTCCCTACACAGCTAGTCTATCAAAAGCCCTTTTCTCCACTGTCAGGGGTGTGTGTGGGGCGGGGGGGTGGTCGAGGAGGAAGAACAAGAGGGAGGGAAGGAGGAGCTGTAGGATAAAGAAAATATCAGGCTTTTCTGCCCTTCCGCCATCAGGATAGATGATGGATCCTTGTCCTGAATGCATGCCTGATGGCGGGCACCTGGAGTAGGGTGTGGACCTATGCAGATGGGATTCACCTGGGCTAAGACTGTGCTTTTTTAAGGGCGGCGTCACGGGGATGCCAGCAGAAGCAGAAAAAGCCGAAAGAGAAGCCGAGAGAGAGAGATCACCGGAGAGCCCAGATAGAGTGTAGACTTGCTGGGGGCTGGGAGGCCTGCCAGCCTCCCGGCCCCCCCAGCACTCCTGCCTGCCTTGTACCAGATAAATCCCAATAAAAGACCTGCAAAAACCACTGAGGACTCTGACTACTCCTTTACCTGGTCTGCATGGGATCAGAAAACCTGCACTGTGTCCATTCCTGACCCCTTACAGGAGCTAAGCTGAGTGACCATCAAGATGGTTGACCTCGTACAGAACAAAGAAGAAAATGGCCAAGCTCTTGCCCTGGGCACACTCACATACATCATTGAATACCCAAGAGTGTGCTTTGTAAACCAAGGTAGCTGGTTAATTCCAGGAAAATATGGTCCTCTGGCTATTTTACCTGTATTAATACCATGCCCCAACCATGCTGGCCTTTAAAGAATTGATAATATTTTTAATGTGTTCAGAAATTTAGTCTGAAGATGTGTTTTTAGCAACTCTGTTCTTTTCCTTGCTTTTGATTTGAGCTGCCCAGTGACCTCCGTATGTGATAATGGGGTGCCCCTGGGCCATCATGGCCCTGCTGGGGAGTCTGGTCTGCAGACCAAGAGGCTTGAGTTGTCTTACGGATTGGTGTGCATCTGCTGCAGAAGTGGCTGTTTTCTGAACTGGAGATTTTTTAAGTTATTTTTAACTCAACGTCTACATAAAAACACCATCTGACTTGGGAGGACATAAACATCTTTTCATATATTACATCAGTGGCTCCAGAAGCTCATCTTGGCACTCGAGGTTTAAGTTTGTTTTCACTCTGTTCCTGGATCTTTAAAAATTACTGATATGATGTATTCATTCTCTGAGAGACCCGGTTCCCTTCGGAGGCTGTGTTACTACAGACAATTCCTGAGGATGACTTAGAACGATTCTCTACTTTGTTAGAATTGCCACGCCTTTCATGTTATTGTTACAGCTCTTTTAATTTCCTGAATGAAATTTCCCCATCCTCAGTAAAAGTCAATAGGGCTAAAAAAGTGAAATGAAACTGACTCCATTGTTATCTGTGGTTATTTCTGAGTGGAAAGTGAAGGGTGATTTTTGTTTTGCTTTCTGCTGTGAAAGATTGTAGAGGCCTTTCTGGATGGTCAAAGATTTTTATAATATTTAGTGCTGTTCTAATTACATTCTAATTAATGATAAAGAGAGAGGGAGAAGAAAATTGGAAAATAAAGGCAGACGATGGATTAACTGGAGTGTGTCCAGAATGGCAGGTCTCTACTACCCCTTTAAAGGAAGGGTGATTTATGCTTAGTGCTTTATGTTTAGTTTAAGTGAGTGATCACTCCATTCTTGCAAACAAATGTTGGGATCAAAACTCATGAAGACTAAGCCCTGAAAATGGGAAACGAAACTCTTGTTCGGAGCGAGTGAAAAAGGGAAAAATTAGCTCACGTCATAAGAACTTGGACACTTCAGACAGCAAAGGGGGTGGAGGGGGAGGGTGTCTTGGCAATTCTTGTATCTCCAGCAATGAGTTGCCTGGAAAACAAAAGCTCCCTTCCAAATGTACCCAGCCCTTAATCCAGCCCTAATTAAGAAAGTAAATCTGTTGTGGAAAGCTATAGTGTTTGGACTACAGCTCCTGGACAAAGTGGTGTTCACAGGCCGCTCCCCAAATGCCAAAAACAACCTTCCCCCCATAACTGATGAACAGCTGCTCGTGCTTGGGAATCACCCCAACTCCTGCAGTTGTCACGTCTTCTGCTCATGACATTGCTGTCTTCCCGTGGTAGGACTCGGTGCTATGGTCACACTTCACAATATGTGAACCACCGCAGGTGTCCAGCCAGCTGTGAACACATCTGTGCCTTGTTGGACCCAAACATGCAAAGCTTATTCCTTGAGTAAAAATTGTTCTGCTACAGAAGATATGATAAACCTCGACACTATTATACTACCATTAGCACCGCAACAGAATAATCTGGACCTAAGTTATCTCCAAACTTTCAGCCTCATCATAGGACTGGTTGGAGAGACTGGCCTCCTGGCTTTTTTTTAACTACAGTTGCTTTGGCCTGTCCAGAGCACAGACATCTGCTGAGATGGGCTGTGTGGATTGGGGTCAAGGCCCCTAGGAGCTGCCCATGGTTAGACCCAGTGGCTGGTGCTGAGCTCAGAGTGGACACGTCTGCCAAGCCACACCTCTGTCCACTGTAGGTGCTCAGCATCCGAGTGGGAACCAGCCGCCAGGTCACAGGTGTTGAATTAGTGTGAATTCACTGCCGGCGTGAGGCATGCTTAAAGAAGAGAAGTAACAAACTGTGGTTCTTGTGTTTATCTCGAGTAAAATGCGGGTCATGAGACGCAGCTGGCCACTGTAGTGGAGCCAGACCAAAACCTTTAGCTCCCACCTTCCCAAACTCTGATTATTCCCGGCTTAGGAGGGGGCCTGAGAAGCCTGGAAGGAGTAGGGAGGCCTCACTTTTAGGGGATCCGTTTCATCACTATCACTTCAGAATTTTTCCCAGCCCATGGACTCACTACTACCTGGGACTTCTGGATGGAACTGAGTTGCTATGGATGTGACCTGCTGGTTGCACTAAAAATAAATGAACTGGGGCCTCCTTGTTGGTGCAGGGGGTTAAGCGTCAACGCTGTGAAGCTGTCCGCAGCTACTGCTGCATGAATTTGATCCCTGGGCAGGGAACTGACCCACAGGGCACAGCAGACCTCTCCTGTCTCCCCGCTGCTCCCCTCAGCAGTGTATTTCAGTAGATCTGCCTGTTCTGTTCCCCACTCTGTCTCTGGTGAATCCTCTCACCCACCCCCCACCTCTGGCCTGTACTGCAGTTCTTATATGCATAAATAAATAAATCTTTAAAAATAAATAAACGTGAACTAACAGAAGCCAGTTAGGATGGTGCAACAGCGGTCCTTTAAACCCTACTAAAATTTGCTGAGAAGTTTTATAATCAGTCCCTCCCTCAATAGAAAATGATAAACTCTCCGAAGCAGAAATGGATTAATTTATTCGCCCTGCAGGAGAATGCTGTGCCCTCCCAAGGAAATTCCAAGGAGATTCACCGCAGAGTTCTCAGTGCCAGGAAATCTGTGATTGTGAGAACTGCCGGGAACCTATTCGAGGTGCCTGGTGTGTCTCCCTAACCAAGCTTCCCTGTGTGTTCACAGAACCAGCTCCTGACTGACCATGGACACAATCCTCTCATGAAAAAGGTTTTTGACGTCTACCTGTGTTTTCTTCAGAAACATCAGTCCGAAACGGCTCTAAAAAATGTGTTCACAGCTTTAAGGTCGTTAATTTATAAGGTATGTTGTTCTTCAGGGGTGGTGGGAACTGACCGTCAGGCAAAGGGCTTGACACAGCCTGTCTCTGTCCTCATGTGCCTCAGTTTCCCTCGACCTTCTATGAAGGGCGGGCTGACATGTGCTCAGCCCTGTGCTATGAGATCCTCAAGTACTGCAACTCCAAGCTGAGCTCCATCAGAACCGAGGCCTCGCAGCTGCTCTACTTCCTGATGAGGAACAATTTCGACTACACCGGGAAGAAGTCCTTTGTGCGGACACACCTGCAGGTGCGTGTGGCTGGCTTTTCCAGAACACATATATTCTGTGGAATTCTGCTTTAGCAGAACTCTCTGGAATGTCATACTTAGCACGTTATCTCAGGGTGAGTGCTCCAAGATCTGGCCCCAGGATGGAAAATTGGAAAGTCAGGTTTACTGGTTTGGCTTATCTCAACCCCCATATGGTGTGACCTGGGCCCCAGGTGCGTTTCTGTTGGAAACCTGATGTTTACATGTTGACTCAATAGTGGACTGAAATTCCGTGCACTCGGGCTGTATTAGAACCCGTGCGAGGGTGATGGTTGTCAGCATCTTGGGTGAGACTCCCACCGCCCACAGTGGCTCTTGCCTGGCTCCCACCTCCTGACAGCCCTCATCTCCCCAGCATAGACATGTCCTGTGCTCCCTGCCTTGGGGAGCATCAAGATGCCAGTGAGCCGTGAGGCACATGCTCTTCTACATACACCGGGGCAAGCCTGCTCCATCTCTACTCTTTTTAAGACAAATATTCTTTGCAAATGACATGCTGGGGTTCGTGGAGAAGCCACAAATGACACAGAGCCCTTCTCTGCCCCTCATGGAGTGAACAGTCTGCTGGAGGATGGATAGACCCCAAAGCCTGTGCAGTGTCCCCTACGCTATGACCCAGGAACTTGAGTGCACCCATGGCTCATGGCCTGGGGTGCTTCCTAGAGACATGAAGAATGAAGAGGGGTCAGTGGGTATAGAGGGCAGGCCTGTTCCAGGTCACAGATGCACCAGGGGAGAGGGCTTGTCCTGTTGTAGAGCAACCCCGATACAAAACGGGGTGCCTGACTGTGGGTCCTCACCCGCGCGCTTTAAAGGACTGATCAATGCTCTACTGCAGGCACACGTGAAAGGTTAATAAAAGGTTTATTTACAAGGGAAGGGGAAATGAGGAAATGTACAGCTCTGGGAGAAAAGTGGGAGACAAAGTTTTAAATGAGTCCTACCCGATCCGCCGATCAGGAATCCCAAAATGGCGCTCTCAGAGTTGGCCGCCAGCCAGGAGCCGTGAAGCCAGGAGGCGAGCCATCGCGAGCCAAAGAGAGCCCAAGGCCCACGTGTTTGGTTTTTTATATCCAACCTGGCTGCCCAACTCCACCCTCAGGTCCCAGCCACCCTCCCTTGGTGGTGATGGGATTTGTCTTTCCCAGAGTCTTGATGACTTTAGTCTGAAGTGGGGGTGGGGTCCACAAAGCCTGTATGGGATTAACTCAGGACATCATTTCCCCCTAACAGTCCCATGGGTGAGAGGGGTTGAGAATCTGGGTGAGAACACGCTGCGGAGGGCCTCACTGCATATTTGGAGGATTGTCTGGGTTTCTGGTGCTGACGTGGATTGGGCAGACAGTACCTGAACAGGGAAACCATTGTCAGATCTGGGACAGCAGAGGGTGTGCAGACCAGGGCTGGTGAGGTCAGAAGGAAGAGGTGATTAAGTTGCCACAGTCAGTGACTCTGGTACCTGGGCTTGGTGAAATGAAAGAGGGGGAAGGATGGGTTTCACATTTCAGCTGAAGCAACTGGGTAAAGGCAGGGCTACTCATAGGCCCCAGAAACACAGCCCCCACCATTGCATCGTTCGTATGTCTAGGTTCTAATAAAAAACAAACACATTTTTTATTAGCCTACCTATTGGACATTGGGTTCATAGAAGCTGGCCCCAAAGCCCCGGAAGGCAGATAATAAGGTATCCCTTTTTATCAGAGAAAGTGGTAGATAAGTAGCTAAGTGATAAGCGCTTATCTGATTCTCATTCCTCTGCATGCTCCTGGTTAGCATTTTGCTGTGCAAACAGTCAACACTGCGGAGAGCAAGATCACTCCTGGAGTCATTCTTGGACAGAGAAAAGATGACTCAATGTTGTTTCTTCCTGGGGCCATCCCTGCCTTCAACACCACCCCACCCCCACCCCCCACCCCCGCCCCGTCCTTATGCCCATCTCAGCCAAGGGAGGAGGCGATCCCAGGGGTCACTTGAAGGTGAATTGATTTGCTCGTTTTGTGTGTCCCCAAGGTCATTATTTCCGTCAGCCAGCTGATCGCGGACGTGGTTGGCATCGGGGGGACCAGGTTCCAGCAGTCCTTGTCGATCATCAACAACTGTGCCAACAGCGACAGGCTCATCAAGGTGGGTGGCCCAGCCCCGTTTGATTTTTCACCCCAAGACTCATCCCACGTGGCCATAGCCAGGCCAGCGCCGCTGAGGGCCGCGGGCCGCTGTCCCCTCATTTTAGCACACCAGCTTCTCCTCGGACGTGAAGGACCTGACCAAGCGGATCCGCACGGTGCTCATGGCCACCGCGCAGATGAAGGAGCACGAGAATGACCCGGAGATGCTGGTGGACCTCCAGTACAGCCTGGCCAAGTCCTACGCCAGCACCCCCGAGCTCAGGAAGACGTGGCTGGACAGCATGGCCCGGATCCACGTCAAGAATGGCGATCTATCTGAGGTAGCCCACCGGCCTCTCCACCCGGCTTTTGCTTTTTTAAGAAAATATGTTTTGCCCCATTTGCCAAAGGAAGCCAGTGTTGAGGGACAGGTCCCATCCATTAAGAGAAACCAGTTGAAAAATATATAAAATAAAATTTTAAAAAAGAGCACAAGGTAAAATAAACTCTCACCATAAATATGTAAAACGAGAGCGAGAAACCAATTGAAAATATGGGACACTTTACAAGAAAAAGACAAAACTCGTGAGCTGCCCACAGGCTGGAGGCTGAGAAGGAAGAGCACAAGGGCCTGCGGGGATGGGTCACGGGTGCTGTGGTGTGGGAGGGAGTGTGGAGACCACATCAGAGGGGAGAAATCAAATACTGTCCAAAAATGAACAATCATGGAAGAAAAGAAATAAATTTTAAAAATGAAAAAGGTGGCAGGGTCAGGCTCAGAACCACTGCATGGTCATCTGAGCACTGCAGTCATCACTCCCTTGCGAGGGGCTATTTCTGGCACAAAAGCCTGGTTGGACAGGCCCGAGGAAGCCCTGTGTCCATGCGGGAGCTTGCTGGCAGATGCCTCACGGCTCTTTCATGCAGAGGGTTTCTGACTCCAACTTTCAACTGCTTCGTGATAAAATTGATTTTTCCAGTTGTGACTGTCATGACAGGGCACTGCTCTTTGCGTTTTAAGGAAGAAATCCACTAAGGTGCCAGCTGTTCAGAGCACTAGTAGGTGCCTTGGGCTCTGTTGCAAGTACAGCTCTCACCCTCTCGAATCCGCCGGCGCATGTGATGACGTGCTCTGTACGTCGTGGTGCTGAGCCCTGTCTTTTATTCCAGGCGGCAATGTGCTACGTCCACGTCACAGCCCTGGTGGCAGAATATCTCACACGGAAAGGTGAGGAACAGTTTCTGTGTCTTGTGAAACGTATAGAAATGTGTACAAAGCAGCAAAGGCAAGTGGGGTCCATTCAGAAGGATTTGGAGATGGGTGTGTGTGTGTGTGTGTGTGTGTGTACAAACTATACCCACTGTGTCATTCGGTGATACACTGCTTGTGGGCACAGCAGAGACGCCAGCATCAGCGGTGGAAGTCTGTATGTAGCGTGTTGTATATGACCTCTCACTAGCGGCTCCATTTTGCAAAACTGAGCTCATGCGTTTGCCTGTGTGTGTCCCTGATGGCCAGTCTTGAGCTGAGAAGATCTTTTCCCTGAAGGTAGTTTCCTCCTGGAGCTATTCATCAGCCAGAAGACAGTGGCAAGGAGAGTTCACCAGGCAGCATTTTCTAGAATGTGCCCCAGATGATTGTATCATTGGAGGAGGCAGCTTTGCTGACAGGAGGCTGGTTCCTGGGGATGCTGCCCTGTGGGCCTGGGGGGTGTGTTCCCGGGCCCGCCAGCCAGGGTCCTTTCACTGGGTCCTCTTGGTTCAGCTCTGATGGCTCCTTCCCACCTCAGCATCTGTGGGCCTGACCAGTTGCAGTGTGGGCACATGGCCTCTGCTGTCTGGGTAGGACTCGCGGCACCAGAGCTGACTGAGGCGCGTGTGTTGACAGAGAGGTGATGGAAAGTCACAGGTGCCCAGGCTGGGAATTTCCATACTTCTGGCCCGAGTGGCGGTTAACACCAGCTATGTTCCTTAGCATACACGTGTCAGGTAACCCTTGCCTTGCTCGCTCGTGTTTAGAAGCAGAAGTAGCCCTCCAGCGGGAGTCGCCCCACTACCCCTACAGCCTCAGCACCTGCCCAAGGAGGAGCCGGGGAGGTGAGCCTAGGGTGACCCCAGCCCATCCTCGTGACTCCCAGGTGTGGGGATTTCCTCTTCCCTCTGCATGGACGGACGTGGCTCTCCTGCCTCCCTCTGTCCCCCTGGCCCGCTGGTGACGGTCTGTTCCCAGGCACGGGAGAGGACCCTTCCTCTGAGCTGAGTTGTCTGTTAACACGTGCTCTGCGGCCCAAGCGTGGGCAGTCAGCTTGTAGTTTGCCTTTGCTGTGTGTGGTGCAGCAAGGCATGGAGCAGGCTCTGTGTGATCCGGGCATACGGGTGAAGGACAGTCCTGGTGGTTTTTTCAGGCTTTTAATGATCTTTCCACACCATTCATAGTGTGGCACCCAGGTGCAGGGCAGGTGCTGGCAGGCCTCCCAGCCCCTGGCGAGTCTTCACTCTCTGGGCTCTTGGGCATTCTCTAGTGGTCTCTCCGCTGCGCTCTGCCACTCGGTCCTCTGCCCCTCGTGCCTCTGCTGCTGCACCGCTGTGACGCCACCCTTAGATGCTCAGCCTGTGGGCTCAGGTGTGCTCACTCACGCAGGCCCACACCACACTCCAGGTGCCGTCATCAGGCACGCGTGTAAGACCCCGGGGGTTGCTCATTGATGCTAATGGCTGGAGGGCGGAAAAAACCTGATCACTTCCATTTACCCTACACTATGCTCACGTGTCCTCAAGCACTGAGCTTCATGCTTTCACACAAGGGATCTTGTCTCTAACAAAACACCAGCAAGGCCGCGCCAGGGCAGCGGCAGAGACGCCGCGATGCCTGGCTGCCCGACAGCAGGCTCACCTCTAACTGAGGACCTGATTTCAAGACTCGACTTCAAAATGCTCTGTGTTCTTCTTTTGCCAAAAATTGGGAGATCAAGTTTTGATTTCTGTTTGTTTTTTTTTAATTATTATTATAAATAGCAGCTTCAAAATAAGAGAAGCAAAGCATCTCAAGGCCTGGCCTTGTGCCTTCCTGCTCAGGCGGTATCAGCTGGTAGACAAGGCTTTTTTCTGGTACCTCCAAGATGGAGAATGACCCCAAAGAGGCCATTTTTGTTGGAGGACTTTAGCCTTATCCCAGCTATTGCTCCCAAGCATTTCCCCGAGGGAAGCAGAACCTCTGCCCCTGCTGGTCAGCTGTGGGCTAAGAAGGCCTCTCTGGGAGCAGCTGGTTGCATCTTGGTTGTGCAGGACGCTTCATGAAGTGCTGGACTGGGGGTGGCCCTGGCCCAGGGGTGAGGCAGCAGATGGAAACAGAGTCGTCTCAAATCCTCTATTTCTCTTGGACTGACTTTGGCTTTTTGTTTTCCTTGGTCTCCTAGCCCAGGTCATCTTAGCAAATGAAATGATGTCTTCTTGGCTATTTTTCTATCCATTTGATTCGATACCTTTTCCAGTCTATTTCAAGCTTGCGTACATTTCCATAAAAGTAGGTGAAAAATAAAAAGGGACGAGGAAGACAATGAATCAAGGGAGGTGAAAGTTAAGTATGAAGACACAGAGAGAAGCACACGCCGGCCTGCACCCAGGGACTCCACGGCCGTTGTTCCATTCAGCACTGAGCATCCAGGGTGGAAGACGCTCCAGCTCTATCCATTCAGGTCCACACTCACTCTGCTCTCCCCACCCCCAGGCATGTTCAGACAAGGATGCTCAGCCTTCAGGGTGATCACCCCCAACATAGACGAGGAGGCCTCCATGATGGAGGACGTGGGGATGCAGGACGTCCACTTCAACGAGGTGAGTGCCGCTCGGGCTGGGGCTTCCTCCACTTGAGCCTCCAGACCTGCAGGTTGCCTGCCGGTGCAACCTCCAAAGGCCATTCTCTCCAGGCAGCAGGCTGACACAGGGCAGCAAGGGCTGCTTCTCTCCCTCTAGGCATCCCTGCTTTCCTCGGGAAGAGTGTCTGAGGACCTTGTCCGCAGTGGCCTAGGCTGAGGGTCTCAGCACCAGTGCTGCAGGGCCTGTGGTTTGAACACATAAAGTTTCTTGTTCTTTCCAGCAAGTAATTTCTCAGATTGACAGGTTTTATTGCTGTTTTAACCTTTTTTGTGTGTGTGTGTGTGGAGAAAAACTGGGGTGTAGGCCAGAAGTGCGGGGGCTGAGAGGATTCACCAGAGACAGAGTGGGGAGCACAACAGGCAGATTGACTGACATACACTGCTGAGGGGAGCAGGTTGGGGGGAGACAGGAGAGGTCTGCTGTGCCATGTGGTTCAGCTCCCTGGCCCTGGCTCGAATTCAGGCCTGAGCAGTGATAGTCCTGAGACTTACCCCCTAGGCCACCTATTTCTTAAATCAGTGTCCCCAGCACTGGATTTCTCCCCCCAGGGCCAAATAGTCCAACCGTGACAACATTACCTTGCGGCCACTTAACTAGAGTTTTGATCTAAAACTGGGAATGTGAACAAATGGCAGCTTTCTGCTTGCATTCTCTAAATTTTTGTTTCCATGAGCATCTTCCAGAAGGATTTTCATGCTTGACTGCCTCCTTTCTACCTCAGGGCAGGAGGGAAGAGTCAGGAGAAAGCTTTTTAATTCTGCTCACTCTCTAGGGAAAAAGGAAGTGGTCTGTTTGTTCATGCGGAGAGAAAGGAGTCAATGCTGTCTGTCTCAGTTCTTCTTGTTTTTATGGGGAGCTAATATCACTTTTTACCGTAAACAAACATCCCAAATGATGTTCGCCAGGCCATATCAGTGGTTCCCAAGGTGTGGTCCCCAGGGTTCCTGAGACCCTTTGAGGAAATCTTTGAGGTTCTCACTTTTCCAGCTGAACATCTCTGTGAAGCTGGGTGTTCTTTGTCTACATCACCCAGGAAAAGAATATTGAACAAATTGAATACCAAGGTCATAAGAAAATCCAAATTTCTTCTATGATGTCAGACTAAAATAAGAGAGTTTGTGAAAATATGGGACAATGACAGTCTTCTCCCTAACTTATTGTGGGGGAAATCTTATTTTTTTCATTAAAAATACTATTTTCATTAGCACATCATCAGTTTATGATAGTGTCATTAAATAAATAAATGAGTTTTACATTTTTTTTCCTACTCTTAATATTATAAAGATTGTGAAAGGTCTCAGTCGTTTTTTATGATCCCTAAAAGGACCTTAAGTCCAAAAAACTTAAGAACACTGGTCATAAATTGTCTCGATGCAAATGACACTCAAAATTAAAATCTAAAATTAAAAAGGAGGGTAAATTTATTGAGTGCATTTTCCATTTAAATATCAAAACAATTTAAATTTAAATATCAAAATAATTTTCAATATCCTGAAAAAAAAAAGGTACATCGGTTATGACACAACCTTAAGAGTCCAGCAATCCGTCCATCTGGAAGTGGGGACAGAGGGTGGCTTCGGTGCTTTACGTTGATGTGTGAAACCTCATCACCCAGGCCACAGTTTTGAGGGGCTTCCCCCGCCCCGCAGTGAGGCTTGAATGCATTGTCTCCATGCTGGCCAGAGCCCGGGAGTGCAGCGCTTGTGTCGAGTTTGAGAAGGAAAGCAAGGCTGCTGCAGAGAGTGACAGACTGGGAAGCAAGGAGAGCCCCATGCCCCGGGCTGCAGCCATGATAACATGAAGCTCCCGTTTGCTCATGGGATTAAAGGACAGGCCGGACTAATCAGGAGAGCTTAGGGCATCACCCTGTGGAATCCAATGCCTGTTTCATTGGGGAGCCTGCAGTGGCACCCTCTCTGTGTAATGTCTAATCATGTGACAGGGATCACTTTATCAGTTATTATCCAAGTAGGGGTTTTCTGCCCTGGCCTTGAAGCAACACGTTGGTAAATCTTTAACAAGGTCCACAGTAGGTGACACTCCTGCAGGATGGGGACATGACACCATAGGGTTTTAAAGTCCTGGCAAGCCCTGTGCTTCAGGATGGAAACCAGTCAGCAATGGAAGGAGTCACATGTATTTTAAAAACCAGGAAGACAGAAATGGCCATGCACATGTTGGCTGTGGCTGTCCGGGTGTTTCAAGCAAAAGAGAAAGTTGGAAATCTCTGCCAGAGAAAGGAGTTTGGAGGCAAGGTAACAGGGACAGGTATGTAACTCAGAGCTTCATGAAAACCCTTGCCCTTCTCACCTGCATTAGTAGGTATGTTTGAACACCTAAGCGCTCACCTAGCATAACTTTAGTGCAGCTACCAAAAAATACCCAATTCTCCCAGCAACAGGCCTCAGAGGAGTTTTTCCAGGGAGCGATTTCCCTTCCAACACAGACCTACAGAGCAGATTCCCTCCCCAGAGGCTTTGGATCCATACGGAGAAACATCCAGCCCTCTGGATGATTTTGCTTCCCAAATTGGAGCCTGAATATCAGATTGAAGAATCTGGAGTCCCCTCGGGACCAAAAGTCTATACCGCAGTGGCCTTGAGACCCTTCCCTCATTACCACACAGCCTGCTCCTTGAAAGGAGATGGTGCACAATCAGGGATTAAAGAAATTCTAAGAAAGGGGCTACTTCAGAAAGCTCAGACAGGATTCAGGACTGTGGCCATACCTTCGGGGTTACAAGAGCTGGGTTGGCACCCCAAACCCGTGGACCAAGGGAGGAGAGAGACACTACACAGAGCAGCGTCTGACTGGGCCTTTAAGGCTTTAAGATTCCATCCTGATACCCTGGCAATGCATTTGCCACCCTGCTCTCCACTCTCCTGCCCTCCAGCCTCTGGCTGGGCCTTCCCTTGGCCTAACTCAGCCACCAGCCAGGGAGACCATTGTGCAGGCCAGCCTTGCTGCATCTCCTCCCGAAGCAGAGAAGTGGGGAGGACAGGATCGAGAGGGGCTGTAGAAAGGAAAGTTGCTAATTGCCCAGAAGCAATACGTATTGAGGTGCTTTTGTGCGGAGCCGCATAGAACTTGAGCCCAGTTGGAGCTGAACAAGAGGGTGCTCTGCCCTCTAGTACTGTAAACAGGGGCCCTAGACACGGTCCGTTCCATCCTGTGCTTTCACATTATCATGCTTTTGTTGATTTTGGTGTTTAAAATGGTCCCCATACATAGTTCTGAAGTGCTGTCCATGTCCCGGAGCGTAAGGAGGTTTTGACGTGCCTTTTGGAGAAAATACATGTGTTAGATGCACTTACTCAAGAGTGAGTTATAGTGCATTTGGCCCTGAGCTCAGTGTTAATCAACGGTATATTAGGAGTCTTTAAAAAGAAACATACATAAAACAAGGATATGTACAGATGGATTGGTAGACATTTTGAAACCAGAGGCTTTCAGGGACCTAACCTCCCCCCCCACAATATGTTCCATGGAAGCAGGGGTTCAGTATTCACTGAGTCAGTGTTCAAAGTGACTTTGTAGAGAATAATTACCGTGAATAATGAGAATCAGCTATCTAGCACATTCCATGTTGTTTTACAGAGCAACAGCTCTCACCATTGGGTATAATAAACATTATTTGAAGTTTACCAGGCCAGTTCTGACTTCTCTTAGCCAAATTGTTTCTATTCAGAAACAACTGCCAGTAACAGACATAAAATGTTTACAACTGTAAAACTTCCCAAGGGTGGAAATGTTTGGGATTGACTTGGTGATTGACTGTGACCCTGTACAATCATCTAGTCACCCACTTTTCCTTGACTGAGGAACCATAAAAGCTTTACAGTCACCCCCAGGAGTGACTTATCTATCCACAGGAGTTATATTCCAAGACCCCCCTAGATGCCTGAAACCAACTCTGTCTATGCTTGCATACCTATGATAAAGCTTAATTTATAAATTGATTACAATAAGAGATCAGCAACAGTAAATAATAAACTAGAACAACTGTAACAATATTCTGTAATAACAGTTACATGAGTGTGGTCTCCTCTCTTCCATTTCCCCAATCTCTCTCTCAAAATATCTTATTGCATGTAACCTGGTTGACCTCTGGGTAGCTGAAATGACAGCAATCAAAATTACAGATAATGGGGACTATTGTATCCTCGTTATTATAATGATTCTTCAAAACAATAGTAGTAGTGAGCAATGAACTTGCCCCATGGACTGTCTAACTACCGTGCCCTTGACTCATACCAGGACATACGGCCCTGCTTCATTGTGCAAGGATTTATTGAGCTTCCCTGGCACTGAACTAAGTGCTGGACATTCAAGAGTGCCCACGATGTGGTCCCAGCCCTTGCAAACAAGATTGCTTTGATGCTGTCTTCCCACTGAGGAGAAACACCTCAACCTTGGCGCCTTAAAATCTGAATGGGAAGTTGTCTGAGTTCTTTGGGACCTGGAAATTTCTGTTTTCACACATGTTGGCTCATTCCATGAACTAGCTGTGTGCCATGTGCTTACATGGGGAGGTGAAAGTGATGTGCCTTCCTTGGAAAGTTTCATCTCATACAGTAGTCCTTCAACCTTCGGGTGCTAGGAATGTACTTGGATTCCTCTTACAAAGATAGATTTCCTTTCTTTCCCTCCATCCCACATTCAGTTGGGGGAGTGAGGCAAGCATCTCAGGTGACCTGTATTGTGTCAAGCATCTCAGGTAATTACTTGGACACTGGAGGTCCTCAGCTATATCTTTTTTTTTTTTTATGGAGGCATTTTTTTTTTATTTGTTCGTTTGTTTGTTTTTATACATGCACTGGGTACAGTCAGAAGCGCGGGAGGGTGAGAGAATTCACCAGAGCAGAGCGGGGAGCAGAACAGGCAGAAGGACCGAAGGACACTGCTGAGGGGAGCAGCAGGCGGCAGGAGAGGTCTGCGCGCCATGTGGGACCCTCCTC